CTTTTGGGATAAAATTGGCATTGTGTGGAGCTGCGATTGTCTGTATTCCTTCCAGTAGACTTCAGTGATGCCAGGAAAGACTGTTGCTCAGCATCTGTTGCTTTTGGAATCTCCCTCGAGTGACGTAAAAGTGGTGTTGTTGTTGTTAAATTAGCTGCATCGCCATGGCTGTCAATTGCTTGGCTTAAACGATTCCTTCGGGTATTAGCCGAAGTAAAGTCAATGTCAGCAACAGGGGAAGGTGTTACATCCTTCACTGATCCAGGTAGAAGTCAATACGCCTTTTCCTGGGTAACTGTCTTGGCATCACGTATCCGTATAGATGTTTCTATGTAGAACAGGAGAGATGCAACATGGGTACATGTTGATCCCAAACCAGCCTTGCAGTTGCAGTTAGCTGTGATGACTGCACCATCCTTCTTCATCAGTACCCACGGACATGTTGGCGGCAGCCCAATACTCTGAGAATGCAATACCTGAAAAATGAAATTATAAAAATACTATTGGATTGTTGACTATTTAGAACCACCAATATGTTGGTCCAACTTTACTTTCAAATACTGATTGTTTACACAACCAGTGGGTGGTCAGCTCTTGTCATATTCCTATGCTAGGTAGCCCATAACAGAAGCTGACAACCAAGAATAGGTTCACAACTTTTGTAATTTAAATATATTGCAATATATAATACAGCTTTATTTATAAAGCCCTTTTCATAAAACATGTGTAGCTCAAAGTGCTTTACAAAATGGCACACATCACAAGTTAAAAATAAACCACAAGAAATTACCCTCAGATCAAATGTTAAGACCTTTAGGTACATGCAGCATAGCAACAACATATAACATTTTAACAGGTTAAGAGACACGAGGAGGTGAAAGGTATGATAATACAAATAAATAATAAGACACAAGACTAAGTTAATTGATGCAACAATATAAAACCCTATAAAATAAAGTAAACATATAGATATAACAAAAATAAAAGCTGCTGTTTAAAAATGTCCACTGAGTTGGCCTCTGATATTTCTTGGTAGCGGAGTGGATAAAAGCAGCCTCACCCATTTTATTTTGGGGGACTTTAGGGATATTTAAAAAGCCAGCTGAAGAGGACCTCAAGAAATATTTACTCACTTTTCCAGCTATAACGGAGCGTCCACACTACAGCTTCAAAAAAACCTTGGAGCTGGGCGTGTCTGAAGCTTGGGGATTTTATTCAAGCAACGCGACCAACAACCAATCACATGAATCTCCCGCCCCCGACATACAAAGCAAAAACCCCCGGGGATTTTATGGGAGCAATATATATATATATATAAACTCCCCAAACAGGCGAAAACCTACCAGTTTCACCCACTGTCTCTGCCACCTCCCTCCATGCTTGGTTCCTCCGGTTTGTATCCCGGTAGGTGAAGAGGGTCTGGTCATACAAAACCAGGTGATTTGCTACGGCGATAATTAGTTTCTCCTCCATCTTTTTTTGAAATATAGAAATGAACGGCGGGATATCTCTCCCAGCTTAGACGCGGTTTGATTGGCTACGGCTTGAGCTGTCAGATTTTCCGAAACGGGATTTGATTGGCTGGCGCTGGCTACTCCGGCGTCAGAAGTTGAACAATGTTCAACTTCTGACACCGGAGACGGTGGAGACGGACCGCTATGCTACCCACAATTCAGTTCGGCGAAAAAAAGCGGCAACGTGACGTCACCCCATTCAAAGTGAATGGGCAGATTGAAGCTGTCGACGGGCCGTTACAGCCACATCTCCTTGATGTGCAACGCAAACGTCGCGGATCCACCCGGATGTGAACTCTTTATGTGCCTTGAGTCCTTTGTAGCCTACGCCTTCATTTCCTCCATGGTCTACGATGGAATAGGCGAAAAAACCAGGTAGTTCACGATATTACAGTAGGAAAGTGAAGGTCATGAATTTATATCGGTGCTGTAATCCTTAACGGGAATCAAATAAGGGTCCACCGAACCAATCGACGCACATTTTTCTCTGTAAACGGTCTTATCCTCCGGGTTTAGTGATTCGTAGTAGCCTTTCATTTTCGCCATTTTTGAACGCTCCCGCCAGTAGAGTGGTACTCCAAGATGACTGACGCGAAATCCCGTGACATCATTAGGAAGTGGCGAAGTCACGCCCATCTACTTCCGCCCCATGGGACCTTATTTCTGAAAAATTATGTATTGAAGTCAATGGGGAGAGAAAGATTATCTTTCGATCCCGTTTGAATTGTGCCATGAATTACACATATGATGTTTGTCAATCTTAAAAAATCATTTCCATGTCTTAAAACTGTTGAAATATAAGATGAAAAATACGCAACTAGAAAGACTACAAATCCCAGAGTCGCGTAGGTGAATTTAGCTAGCTGACATTAACGTTACACATTACACTCGTGTTACTCACCGAAACCTTGTAAAGCCGGTCCCGCATGCTGGAACCGACTAACTCCCCTTGTGTGTATGTACAGCTCTCAACATGCCCAGAATTGTAGTGATTTTCACCTCTTTTAATATTTTTCGCTTCATTCTGAAAGAGAGGTGAAATCATAGACTGTATATATAAAGGGTGAAATGTGCTAACGTGACGGACATCTTGGTGTTGGTGACGTATGCAAGATGTAGTTCATTGAGCGTTTCACACAAACAAATGTGTTACTTCACAGTTTTAAGGCACATTTTTTTTTTTTTTACTTGCAAAATTATCTTTTAAATTGACAAACATCATGTGTAATTCGTGGCACAATTCAAACGGGATCAAAATATAATCTTTCTCTCTCCATTGACTTCCATTGACATACTTTTTCCGAAAGGTCCCATGGAGGTCCCCCGGAAGGGGAGGGACTTCGCCACTCTATAGCAGCCCGCTGACTGAGTCACAGGTCAGCTGCAGATCACAGGATCAGATATAACAGCATTAAAAGGGAGGCTGCAAGATCTGGAAGACTCAACCAACTACGATGATGTTGAATGCTTGCGATATGATTCACGAGATAACAGTGATTGGCCATGTTTGCATAATGTTTCTCATTATCACTGAATATATTATTTCCAATTTTGCTCTTGTCAATTTTGTGGTTTCATTTGAATTGTTTTAATTGTGCCGCCCTAACCCCTAGTGTTGGAAGTCTTGCTTCAGAACATTTAAAAAAAGGGGAATTTCCTGTTATTTCTTCAAAATATGTTTTGCAAGTCAGATGTTACCACGAGTAAATAAACTATATCTCTATGGTACTGTACAAAACAGATGCAAAGGGGGGAAACAATCGAAATTAACTACTAGAGGGGACTCGGGGAGATGCTACAATGGAGAAAATACAAGAATATAGTAACCGATCATAAACCATTGGAGTAAAAATTCAACATAGTTAGTTAGTTAGTTCTTTGATATACTGAGGCGGAAGACTTTTCCAGTTAGGAGCAACAATAATGAAAGCAAGATCCCATTTTATCTGAAATTAGCATGGATCTCAGAACACTCAGTCCTGTGTGGTGCTGAGTGTGTTTCCAAACTAAATCTGAGTGGCAAAACACCTTCAATTGTGTACATGCTTTGATGTTAAACAGAATTAATGAAACACAGGGCAGGTGCAATGTTACTCACTTAGTTTTTAATATTGACAGCAACTATGTGCTGCATGGTATGAAAACTGTTTTTCATGCTGTGCAAATCCTGTTTTAATCATTATCTTTTTGTTTAAAGTTGTGTATTACGTTTTAAGACGTACTTGGTGTTTTTGCTTTTATTATCCTCTAAACCAGTGGTTCCACCAAAGGACAAGTAAAAATCTCAAGGCACACCTATTGTGCAAAATATCCCTTATAACACGTGTTATCACTCATATCATGTAAAATATCTGTAAATGTGCATAATTATTTACTAATGCCAAATAAAATGTGACAAAGACAACTATATTACTCATGAAATATTTATTAACGAAATATTTCAGAAATTAATTTGAAACTTTATCAAATTAGGCTTCATCAAAGCAGCAACACACTCATTTAAACCAGACAGGTCACAACATTAACATTTCAGCAATCAGCATTGAAACATATTGTAAATATTTTTGCCGACTTACAAATTAGTGAGATACATGTTCCTGTCGGGGCGCGCAGAATTTTGTAATCCTTGGTGGCACTGAGGAGAGGGCCACTCGCAAGTCCTGTTCAACAGAGAGCAGTGACCTCCTGTTGTTCTTCATGTAAATCAGAGTAGAGAACGCCAACTCCAGAGATGGGATCGTTACTATTTTTTTTTTTAATATATTACATATTACTTTAACAAAAAGTTACATATTACACTACTTCGTTACTATCTACATAAAGTAACTCGTTACTTTAATCGTTACTTTACTCGCCGAGCACGTACGAACTGCACATGCCTGAGTGGCAATAACTTTCCTTACCAGCAGGCGGCGGTAGTGTGTATTTGTCATTCAAAACAGGCAACAACCGGAAGACAGAAGAAGAACAGACGACGTGATATAAACAAACAACAAATAGCTGTGCGTTAGCTTCACCTTAGCATGTGTTCTTTGCAGGTGCTTGTTGAGGTTTGACGTGGTGTTTCCAGCAGTGGATAACAGCTTCTGGCCTGGACACAGTTTGCACCTCACCGTCACATTCCTGTCTATTCTTCGGACGACCTCAAAGTAATGGGCATACCTCCACCTCTCGAAAGCTATCGCTGACTCAGCCATGTTTATGCAGCACTGCACGTGGAGATGTGGACGCGCAATGATGTGGACTGATATTATAGTAAATAAAACAATTATTATTTTTGTGTAGTTGTATATTGCAATAATAACGTATGGTTGGCACAAAATCCCACGGCACACCCGGACTTGCCTCACGGCACACCAGTGTGCCGCGGCACACCGTTTGGGAACCACTGCTCTAAACAACACAAGCAGAGCCCAGTCAGATAAACGGAAAGCTACCAGTCTTATTTTTACGCCCCCAATCTTTGCTACTTACAAACAGACAACCTTTTTTAAGACAAAACTTTATTCAAAATGTAAACATACAATATATTCTATTTAATGCATGTGCAAATTGTAAATCTAAATGTTTCAGGGTTGTTGTCAGGGGATGTTGAGCGCTGCCTTTGAAAATAAGACTAAGAAGACTTTAAAGGTCTACTAGCAGGAAAATAATGCTCATCTCTAGTGTTATTCACTTCCTTAGGGTTGACAGTGCGAGGCATGTCAAAGGTTGACCACTCATCCTCATGAAGATGAAATGTTTAGCCATTTGAGCTCCAAAATCAACAATGGATGTGTATCCAATATCCCAGGCAATTTTTAACATTTGCCCCAGAGCCATAAGAGGAAATTGGGAGGTAATGTTTTGTGACTGGAACTGTGATTAACACTGTTTTGCCATGGTAACCAACCTAAGCAGCCCTGGCAAGCTGCCGAACAAAACCCCCCGCCAGATGAAACTCTGTTAGCATGTAATAACAATCATTAACCATTCGAAAATTGCTGTGAGCGTCACTGATCAGGTCCAAATTAAATACATCTGGACTGTTTGGAAGGAGTCTTGGAAGATGCTGGGAAGTCAACACATGGGGCTGATGAAGGCCACTGTGCAGGTGGCCTCCACAGGATGAGAAGCCATCTGCAATGTAGACTTACATTTGACATTTTTGAAAAAGCAGAATTCATAAATCCCAGTAGTCTTACTATCACAAGGTTACAAGAAATTAATTTAGCCTTTTTCACATTAATACTGTGCAACATCGCAAATTGAAAGAATCAAATCAGAGACAAAGACATTCTGTGTAAACAACTCCAAGTAGTGCCTAACGTATCCCAACCAGTAATGTCTAACTGTCTGACAATCTGACTTATGACATGACTCGGTGATGAGGCAAATACCAGATCCACAATGAAGGGACAACCATCATTCGCTCTGTGAAATGTCATAGTTGTGCAGACTAATTGTGAGCCAGTCAGGCCAAATCACTCAGCTTCAGACCTCATCATTGTTCATGGGCCGAGGAGGACACCGAGCTGAGGACACCTGTGCCACATTCTGAGGCAGAAGGCTCTGTGTTGGCAGCAGAGGCTCAGTCATCTCCAGTTCATCAGCAAATATTCCAAAACACATCAGAGGAGCCATATAGCTAACTTCAAAATATGATGATGGCATCCCTCCAAATCCAGCCAGCCAGCCAGCATGAGGAAGTGTCATAGGTTCAAGGCGATGCCTCACCGGTCAGCTGTATCACAAGCCTTCCACTTGTTTCTGACTGGATGAGCAGCACACCAGCCTCTGTGCCTGCAGTACTGGGCTTGAACTGGACAGGTAGCTTCAGATAGTGTTGTGATCTAATGGGTGGGAAAGGAGAAGAGCTGTTATTGGCCAGTTAAATTATGGACAGTAGACAATTATTTTTTATATTAAATGTTGAGCATGAATATGTCACATGCACCAGCACAGATGTACACGCAAATCACAAAACTAAAATCAAGTACTTAGGATTTTCCTTTATGAATCATGACTTGCTAGACTTCAATTCAACTTTAAAACACTGTATTCATAAAGGAACATGTTCCAGCATGGTCTACATGCATGCACACAAAATGGTATGGCATGATAAATACACAATAACTCGGGCTTCAAGGGCACATGTGGTGGTAATGAGCAGGGCCGCCCCTCCCTACAGGCCAATCACGCAGGCTGCATGGGGCCCCGCCTTGCCCAGAGGGCCTCAGCTGCTGTGCGCAGTTCTCCGCTCAGTTCTCCGCGCACCCCCGGCTGACACGCGAGAGTGAGAGGTGACAAGGGGAGCACGTCTGTAACCCGACACCGTTTTAATGAATCGACATCTGACCAATCACGGCTTTGATACGGCCACTAGTGCAGGTGAAGAGATGTCGGTGAAAAGACAGTTTCAGTCCGGCGCAAGCAAGAGGGGGAAAAAAACAAAACATGAAGAAACTAGAGCAGGCATCCTCAAACTATGGACTCCGGTCCGGATCGAACCACCACTATCTCCGGACTCTGAGCAAATTATACTTTTCATATGTATTATCTCTCTGTATTATATGTGAGACATCGCCACACCGCATTCGCAACGAGTAAAAATGCTCCGCTATGTCCACTGCAAACAGCGCTCTGCATGTCTGACTGTTCCACTGTGTTCCACCTGTGTGTGTCAACGCTTTGGTCCAATCACATTCAGCATCCAGTCAGCGTTTTTTTCCCCCAAACAATCTACGAATCAGAGGCACAGTAGGGCGGGTCTTCGCGGAATGCGGGTGGGAAAAATGTGTGCGTCTCTTTCAACCTGTCTGAGTCAGAGCGAGAATTTAAAAAAAAAAAATTCAGAGCGAGAGTTAACAGCTCATCTAGTTCCATCTGTACTGTAGCTAGTAGCCTAGTTTCACCTACCGGGTTGGCAACTGACACCCTAAAAATAGGCCTTGCCACCCCAGCTGCCACCCCAGTTGGCAGCTTTGTTTTTGAAAGAAAAGTTGTAGCTCATCGGACATTTATGAGAGAAAGTCTCTAATGTCCGAGTGCAAGTGAATGCAGCACAAGATGCACGTCATGTAACCCCTCCCCCGGTCCTGGCGCGAGCGTGGATATACGATTGGCGGCGATTTCATTTTGAACTGGACGGCGCAAAACGAGAAGCATTCGGACCCAAGCGCTGAAGGAATGAGGTATTTGCGGTCTGACAGAGAAGAGACTGTCAGTTTGGCTGCACTCAGCATTGAATCAAAACGCACTAAAGCTGTTGATCTTAATACGTTTGTGAGGCGTTTTGCTGAACAAAATGGTAATCGCCGCATTCAGCTGTAATAGACATGTCAACTTGATGCTCTGCTCACGGATGAGCATACACAACTATTAAGATGATGACCTTACGTGTGTAAATATATTTTTTTCTTTGAGGCGGTCTGCCCCCAAAAAACTGTTTTAAGTCCTGAGAAAGTCAAATCAGACGGTGTGTAAAACTACACTGCCCAGACAAAAAAAAGTAACCACTTTGATTGAACTAGGCCAGTAGGTAAGGACTTTCCACTGGATCATAACTGCAGTATAAAAGAATGCATGACTGAAGTGATGGAGACCATGTTGAAGGCAAACAAAAAGAGGAAATTACAGGTCAAATCAAGCAAATCCCCCTCTCAGATTCCACAGCAACCAGAAGAACATAAATACTGGCTGGTGATTTGATTCTTCAGCTTTGTGATGGAATAAAAAATGCACAGTGCATTTCCTTAGCTGTGGGTGAGTCCACTGACACCACTGACAATGCTCAGTTGCTGGTGTTTGTGAGTTTTTATGATGAGGCAAAGGGGGAGTTTGTTGAAGATGTGTTGGGCCTGACGAACCTCAGTGGACGCACAAGGGGGCAAGACATTTATAAAGCAATAATGGGAATGCTGAATGAAAGAGGGTGCAGCTGCCTTTATTCATAACTGTGCAGCTCTTACACTGCGTCTCTGAGGGGTCAAGCACAGACACAATAACAATGAAAACTGCTGCATACAGATTATTTTTGTTTTTGCAACCTCGTGTTAAGAATCTTGTTGCAATTGTTTAAAAGTTTGAATGACCGTAATAAACGGACCTTTGTCTTATTGAAACATTTATTTTGGACCTTTAAGATTTGTATTTGAGTACCCCTGAACTAGAGCATCACTCGAAGGTGGGTTATTGTTTGAGTCAAATGTACAACTTGCAAATGTTGTATAAGTCAAATTGCCATATTAAAACATCAGCTGCAATTCACGACATGAAGAAGGCAGTCTCTGCAGAGCATACAGGCTAATGGAGATGCAGTTATTTCCAGCATTCTTTATTTAACATTCATTCAAGTATGTGATGCCTTTTATCTGCTAATGTACAGGAGGAAGAGTGATACACTGTCTGTCTAGTTGGCTTACATAACAGTTAAAGTTTACAGCCTAAAAAACATGGAGCATTTTTCCCCCTTATATTCATTTTTATGTCAATTTGCACATTTCATGCTGATGCTCAGCCTCTCCCCTTAACTCCTAACAGCCATCATCATGTCAACCACAACACAGAGAAATACTGATAGAAATGTGTGTGTAGTTGTTGATACATTGCTGACAGAGGGAATTACATTTTAATACAGATTTAAGAAATATCAGTTTTTGAGCATGTCATAAGCATGTTTTGTCTTGACTATATTACAACTATATTATAATAAAACAATATAGTATTTTTATTATTGAATTGATTATGATTATTATTATTAGTAGAAGTTGTTTATTTGCATTAATTATATTTTAATCTTTTTGAGGCTAGTATTTGGCAGGAAATGCAGACGTATTCACCTGTAAACGCATACTGAACGACATACATGCAACAACCATTTACCTCACTGCATAAAAAAGTGTTGATAATAATAATAAACAGGAATTATATTTGCAAAGTAGCCTAATTTGTTTCCAAAAACATTTTTTTTTCACTCCTGTCGGTTGGGGGGGCCTCATCTCACAATGTCGCTTGGGGCCCCAAGTTGGCCAGGGTAATGAGAGAACATGAGAGAGAACATGCCGGGTCCACACACACACACGGTTTTCATTTTTGGTGAAAATCAGGTTGGATTTGTTTGTTCCCCATTCCACTTTTGGATTGCTTCTCCCAATTCAAAACATGCGTTGTGGCCATTCTGAACACAGTCCCTCATCAGCAAAGCACAGCAGGCAACCCCTCCTAACGGCTTTAGTTAGGCATTACATCAGTACTCTCCCAGGTGTGTACTATGTTTAGAAACTAATGCTGTCAAAATTATCGCGTTAACGGCGGTAATGAATTTTTTGAATTAATTGCGTTAAAATATTTAACGCATTTAACGCATGTGCAGAATGGCCCGCCCCATACATCCCACCAGTGGCAGCGCCAGGGTATGGCTGGGGTAGGCTACACCCATACCAAGAAATGGCTTAGCCCCACCATGAAAAATGATGTTAAAGTAAGCAAAATAAAGTCCGCCAACTCGCGCAGAGAATTGCACAGACAGTAGTTAGTCAGATTGATTTCAGTAGCCACTTGTCTGGAAATACCGAAGACCAGGGGCCTCATTTATAACGGCGTGCATAGGATTCACGTGGGAAGGTTGCTTACGTAGTAGAAATCCAAAAAATAGGTACAGAAATTTTCGACATTTTCCGATTCACCAAGCGTACAGCACTTCCTACGCCGGTTTCCCTTTATAAATCACAACCGACTCGAAATGCGGTGCAGCTTCTGCGGGCTTCACGTAACGCCCATATTTGCCTATAAATAGTCAAAGAAACGCCCATTCATTCATTTTGACTGACTTTATGAAGAAGATCGCAGGAAATGACGACAGAACAGCTAAAAAAGACATCTCACACCGTGTCAGATTCTGGTTATTTTGGGGAGGTGGAGATAAATCATATTGTTTGGTGGATGCAGTTTGAACCAGAGAAGCAGCATGGAGGTCGGATCGTCACCTAAATAAATAAATAACTGGCCCGAAAAAGGTTAATGACAAAAACAATACACATAGCCTTCCTCAGGCAGTGTGTTTGTACCGGGGACAGGAGACCCCCCCCTTGATGAGAAACTGTAAGAAGTGAATGGGGAATCCCTCCGGAGTGGAGTCATGACGACTGGATCTGAATTATGTTTTTGTATTTGGTGGTTTGTGTCCCAGCTGTCGATCAGCTGTGCGCAGCGTCTCCACTGCAGCCTGTGGTCTCAACCCCCCCCCCCCCCCTCCCCGCAGCAACCCTATATCCACCAGTTAAAGGAAATACAACTAATGTGTTGTGTTATATTAGCTGTTCAATTTACCACATGGTGTTCTTAGTTTCCATACCTCCTGTGTTTTACGAGCGACTTATCAAGTCTTGGCAAACGGCATAAAACACGATTAAACGTGATAGTATATAAAACCATGCTCGTATCTACAACCTATAGAAATGCAAAACGGCGTCAGTTTAGACGTAATTCTGTCCTCCTGCTTACCGCATCATTTATGAGAAAACATTTCTTAACATTAACACAACATATTCGAGGTGGTTTTAAATAACATATCCGTATTTATTTATTTCTCCAAGTTATGTTTTTGTGTGCACTGAGGAGTCTCAAACAGGCGTTTGTTTAATCATTTTAAGATTGGCTTTAATCAATGTTTGAAAATGAATTCTTCATATATGATAAATGAGAGGTAACATTTTGTTTATGGTATTATTTCCACACATTTCTCTCCATTCTTCCTTCTGCCAACGGTGTCGCAGTTTCTCGTCTCTCCCGTTTTTGTGCTTAGTGCGTACGCATGGGTTAGAGTTTGCGTGGAGGACCGCACATTTTCCCGTCAAGTTAGTATTTTATAAATCGCAAACATTGCGTAGAAACTGGCGTACGCCATTTTTTGAGCGTATATCCCTTTATAAATGAGGCCCCAGAAACGGTTTTGAAAACTTTTGTCACGTAGTGATCGTCTTCTCAATAGAACATCTTTGATAATGTCTTCTGGCCAATCAGAATCAAGATAACGGCGTGGTGTTGTTGCAGGAAGTCCCGACGGAGAATACTTTTGCTGTAGTACAGGTAACACATAACTGGTACGCAGGTTATGTGCGTAATCTCTCTGAAATGCGTACCGTCACTTGTGTCACAAAGCGCATTTGCGTACCGACGTACTTGTGAAGCTTTTCCAGAAGGTGGTTAGATCACCGGACGACAGAGTCGGTCTCCGTGTGCACAGACAGGGCTGCTGTTAACGTCGGTCTGTACAACGAAATTGTGCCAAAACTACGCCAACCGGCTGCGGAGGGAGACTCCCCTCCTTCACTGGAGAACTGCGCTAAAACAGCTGATCACAACGTTCACACTCTGTGGTCACGAAGTACTCCACTAGCCCCCCCCCCGTCGACTTTCCTGAAGTACTCCCCCGTTGATAGAAATCAACACGTAATGAATTAAGACCCCACGGTTTGATGATTGATAGGTGTGTGGGCTGTCTTTCATTTTGACACACAGATAAAATGTTATAATATAGGTTTATTATAACATTTTATTTTACATACTGTATGTTAAATGGATATATCCGCCTTCTTTCATTTATCTTTCCATTCCCACAACAATATACATAAAGAAATGGCATATTTTGGACATAGTTCGAATGGTGATTAATCATGATTAATTAATTTTTAAGCTGTGATTAATCTGATTAAAATGTTTAATCGTTTGACAGCCCTATTAGAAACATTATCCTCTAGCTCCCAAGATCTCACAGAACCTCCCACAGTGAACAGTCACAATGGGAAGATAACATTAAACAAACTAAGTTTCACATAGTATTTACTATTCCTATTTTGTTGCATGAAACAATCTACATAACAAAAACATCTCTAACAGATTACCACAACAACCCTAACATGGAAGCACAGTAACAAGTAAAAACAGGAGAAGGTACTTAAAATAAAGATGGATTCCTAATGCTTCACCTGTCTACTATTGTTATGACCCTGGACACACATGTCGTCTGTGTACTGACTTTTTCTTGGGAGTGGGAAGAGTGGGACGAGTGTGCGATTTTAAGCTACGCCTAGGTTCCCCTAGACCGGGGCGTAACACTATGAAAATGCAGAAAGAAGTCGGGGATAATGACCATTGGACTCACCTCAGAGAATATTTGGAATGCTTGATGTGGAAGGGTTCCATAGGGTTTACAAATGTCAGCTGCAAGTCAATTAGAGAAGCCACACATCAAACATCAAATCCATGCAAAACATAATTACGATTATTTATTTAGGTTTGACATTTATCATTCAGTACAAGTCAAGAGTCATGCAAGTATAGACGTGTGGAAAAACAGTGTCCACAATGCGAGTTAGTATAAAGCACTGTTCCTCTCACTTTCTTCTGATTTTTAATCCATTTAACCTGTTTGCATCTCCAGAAACTACTGAAACCAAAGACGGTCCAATTGCCTTCAAGCAAATATATATATTTCAATTTCTGCTGCAGTAAATGAGACAGGAAAAATGTTTCTCTCATGTCATCTTCAAAACAGGCAACCTCACCTCATGTGTGTCGGATGAGTTGTTGCGGATGTTGACCTTCAGAGTGCTGGATTCACCCACCCGTGTCACTGGGAAGGTGTAGAGATCCTGTTGGGAATACACACCCCTCCGCACGGCCTCCTCCTCACTGACAATTATACATTATGGGATTAAGGAGAAAGCAGAACCGTCACCTCAAGATGAGAAACCTACTCTAAAGCATGGCTGCTACTTCCTACAGTTACAGACCTTCACAAGCAAAAGGACTATTGGAGTGGACTCACCTGGTTTTGCCTGCAGAAGCATCAGCTCTCTTCCTGCTCTTCACTGTAGCCTCCGTCTTCACCAGAGAGCAGTCTCCTTCCTGTGGTCCTGCCACTGTTCCAGACTTTACTCCCTTTACACACACAATATTACATAAGACAGGGAATCAAATATATCGGGGCAAAGCAGCACAGAACACTTAGGGGAACACATAGCATCTCCTTCTCCACACGGCTAAGCTGCCAATAATAGCTGAAACAGAGCAATATTTGTGTACACACACACACACACACACACACACACACACACACACACACACACACACACACACACACACACACACACACACACACACACACACACACACACACACACACACACACACACATACACACACACCTGATAAAAACCAAATGTGAAACATTTTACATATTCAGTTCCACATCCCACTGTATTGCAGCCTGTAGTCACAGATTAGCATTTAACACTCTGCAGGATGTTGCACTCCACTTTAAGACTGCATGTAAGACATAAGGCAATAACAACAAAAGCCCTTACATCATAGCCACTTAACCTACTTATGTGGAGCCATCTATCTGACATCCCTCTAGCTGTGTATGTGTGCTCTTTAGTTAACTGGGTCTGTCACAACACTTCACATTAAAGCGGCGCACATGCAAAGCCTGCAGGTTCATCTCAGCAGGGGGGGGGTCTGCTTACTATCTCACAACACACTTTTCCATTTGTTCGTTCTGCCACCAACACTACTAAACCATATTCAAGGTACTACAGAAACAGATTAAGGTAATAGCGCAAAAATATTGACATATCTGTCTCCTAAGGTTTGCTAGCAATACATCAACATAAAAAAAAAAGAAAGAATAAAAAAGGAAGATTGACACTCAAGTAATTTTGAACAGTCATTTGGATAACCGTATTTCAAGCTAAATGAAACGTCCAACATAAAACACGTTGTCCTTTACTACAGAAGCCCATTTTTCTCTATTTAGTATGGCATAACTTAAAATAAGTCCTCACAGTGCCACAGAGTTGGAAGCGGATTCTGGTTTTCTGCTGAGGCTCAGACACAGGGTGGCACTCCAAGTCCCAGAACTGGGCATAGTCCCCTCTGTCCCTGGGCAGAAAAGTAATAGGCACCTGGAAGAGCAAGAAAACAAGAACAGTCAGAATAGATTAAGCCACATCTATTATTGCTATACACATTAACCAACAAAACGCTTAAAAGAAATATAATCATAATTTGTTTAACTTGATATAACATAACCTAAGCTGGCCCCCATTAAATAAAAGTAGCTGTTGTAAATGAAGTATGGGTTAGTATTGGTTATTCCTACCCAAGATTGGCCAGGATCACAATATATTTGTCTAGAAACCCACAACATAAGCAGTCAATGTTGTCCCATCCTTGTAAAATAAAGTACTCTATGTAAGGGAAACTTCTGTAGCAATGGAGAGTCAGGACTCAGAGAGACACGGGACGAGCAGGAGTTCTGATGTCAAACACTGGCAGTTTATTACAAGCATCGGCCGGAGAATTCATATCACAAGTCACAGCAGCAGAAAGTTCTGACTGCACCGGTGGGTTGCCATGTCAATTCTGAATCCCTTCTCCTCTTGGCAGACCTTTAATTAGCTTCACTCAGAGTCAACCCCCATATTGGGGAAAGCATCTGTGAACACCTGGGGGGCACTGAATCACTTTATCTGACTCTATGGCTCTTGTGACCGAGAGTTGACCGGTCATAAAACTCATAATGTCAGCAATAGCTGACAGTTCCCATTCCTTAAGACAGATAACAGACTTCGGCTTCGTCGTAAAACGTCAACAGGCCGAAAGGTCAAATATCTTAGGAGTAAGGAGAATTATTCTTTGACACTAACGGCCCGTACACACAGCAGCTTTTGGCGATTTGTCCACCGCTTCCAGCGCGTCTCCGCCCATTGACTTTGAATGGGGATGACGTCACTTTCCCTCGCTTGTCGCCGAACTGCATTGTGGGGGGGCGAGGCGAAGATTTCCAGGATTTTCAGGATGTTCAGGATTCCAAAGTTGAACAATGTTCAACTTTTGAGGCTGAGCTGGAAGCGACAGCCAATCAGATCCGTTTATGCAAATCTGACAGTTCAAGCGCTAGCCAATCAAACCGCGTGCAAGCTGGGAGAACCAGACCCGCAGTTCATTTCTATATTCCACAAAAATGGAGGAGAACTTAGTTATTGCAGTAGCAAATCACCCGGTTCTTTATGACCAGTCCCTATTTACTTACCGGGATACAAACCGGAGGAACCAGGCATGGAGGGAGGTGGCAGAGACAGTGGGTGAAACTGGTAGGTTTTCGCTTGTTTGGGGATTTTATATCCAGTTTACTTCGTTGCTAGTTTACTTCGTTGCTAGCAAGCATAGACAGTATCATTAGCCAGCATGGAATGTAGCATAAAATAGCACCATAAACATTAATCTCATAAATGTTCAAAATGTTAAAAAAATAAATGTTCATCATAGCCCTTCCTATTTGACAATAGTGTAGAAGAACCGGGTATTTTTGCTTTGTATGTCGGGGGCGGGATATTCATGTGATATTCATGTGATTGGTTGTTGGTCGCGAAATCCCCAAGCTGTCAGACACGCCCAGCTCCAGGATTTTCAAGATTTGGTCAAAGCTGCTGTGTGGACACACCGTTAGGAGTAAAGACAAAATTAATCCCTAACACTCTATACAATTTACAGACAACTCTAATTGGTTACGATTGCCTACCTGCATCTTCTCATGGGCCCCCAGAGTGCCTGAGGCCCCGGAGCATCTAAAGGCAGTGTAAGTGGCCCGGTAAACATCTCCTGTGTTGTCAACCCCCTGTGGAGAGAAAAGAGACTACAGCCTGAGTCACTGCTTTCACTCAATGCCCGGTAAAAAGACACAGTTGGATGTTTGAGCAACAACATCCAGCGAAACTTACAAGATAAACCCAATACCAAAGTGAATCATGAAACAAATGATGGATCTTTTGGATACACAGAGACTAACTAAAGGAAAAAAGAAAATAAATAAACTAACAAGTTAAAGCCGCTGATTCTTGAAGAGTTGACAGAAGAAATAAATTGTAAAAAGAAAAAGCACCTTGACATATGGAGGAGCAAATGATGACAGGTACCACCTCACTTCCACTTTGCCATTCTGCACCTCCAGCTGGGCCTCTGAAGTAGAAAAACAGAGTATAAGTCTCCGACAGATACACAATACATAGTATGCTGCCTACAGAGTATTACTGAGAACCACATTAGTCTGAAGATTTGAAACCGTTTTCACATTATCAGGCTTCTAAATCATTGTTTTAAGGCTGCTCAGATTGCCAACAACATGCTGCTGTAACACTCAAACCCAGATGTAGAAGACAGAAAAGTTTGAGCTGCGGTCAGCCTCCTCCAAACCTGATGTTTCCCCTGAAGGAGTGCTGGGGAACATGATGGTCTTGTTGCTGATCTCCAGCAGGGCTAGAGGAGCCTGTGGGGTGTGCTGGGGTAGTGACGGCTGGACAGTGAGTCTGGGCACAGTCAGCACTGGAGTGGCAGCCTGAGCAGGCAGGGCTGACAGAGTGGAGTCTGCTGGGGCTGCGGACACATCCAAAGCCAGGTCCCCACGAATCTGGACCTTAATCAACTGAAACAACAGTCACAACACACACATTCAGGTCTTAGGTTCTCACAGCGATGCATGCCTGAGTTGTCTTGAGGTTTATAAAGCGGTGTGTCCCAAGTGTTCCATACCTTCTGCTGACTGTCGCACTGGACATAAATCTGTCCACTCCATGGCAGCAGGGTAGATTTAGTTGCTAGTGAGGGGTTGGGGCTGATCAAAATCTGTAGGTGGCACCTTTTTTTTTAAAATGACATAAAAACAGGACACAAATGGAATAATTCCAATCACATATACACACAGTGACAGAGGATAACATTAGCATTGGATTTTCTCTTTGTAATTAGTTGTTTATTGAAGCTCTGTTGACATAGTGTGGTAAGTACAAACATAACAAATTGTCGCATTAAATACATGGGCTCTAATTCTAACCCAATAGCTTTGCTTTTACCATAACCAATATTTTGATCGAACAACAATGTGTATTCTTACTGAGGCTCAATAACTCCATGCTGAGGGGTGATGGTGAGGCAGTGAGCGGGCCAGGACAGATCGAAGCTCAGCTCTCTGGAAGTATTGTTCCAGATCTGAACCTGACTAGTGGAGGCCGCACCATCTACAAACAACAACAGTAAAAAACAAATGTGTCCCACTGTGTACCAATAACTCTCTGATGCAGAATCATAAACCTATGGTTTAACTTTAGAGTAACTTGCTTCACCAATCATACTCAAAATCTGTAGTGCAATTTAAAAAAAAGCTGTTAAAAGTTCACACAATATGCTTTTAACATATATATTTCCTACTTACTAATGGTGGGAGCTGCAAGGACAAGTTGTTCTGGGTGGAGGGTCCAGGACTCAGACCGCCTGTGTAATGGCTCTGAAGCCTGTGGAGGGACACTCTGCATTGAAAAAAATATATGTTATGCCATATGCAGATTTTTTTTAAATGTAAAAAAAAAAAAAATGTCATACAGTAGAAACAGCACATAGATATTCAACACTCAGATCATCATTAAAGAGGTATCCTTAAAGAAGCCTTATGGTACCTTTAAGGTTGTCTCTGCCACTCTCAGTGCTGGACCTTGGGGACCTTTCACTGGCAGCACGTCCAGAGACACATTGCCATTTGTCAAAGCACTGGAAATCACAAAATAAACAACAAAAACAACTGTGGCCAAGGTGATATATTTCATTTAAATGCGTTCCCCATAAATAATGTACAGACCTATGAACAGACAGTATTTCTATTTCCAAATCAGTGTGTGTCTTAAGTAGAGTGTATGCTAAAGCCATGTACATCCCAAATGGATGAGATAAATGTATAACGGAAAAGCATTCCTCCTTTGAATTTACATGCCGTTACTATAACCCATCCTATACAATTAACCATTGTTGTTCTCTACCGTCCACCAGGCGCCTTGGGGGACTTCTTGGAGGAATTAGATAATCTCCTCTCACACATCCCTGAAACTGGCCCTCCTACTGTACTTCTCGGAGACTTCAACCTCCAGACAGGGAAGACATCTGAACTAACATCTCTTTTAACCGCCTTTGCTTTCTCACTGTCTCCATCCCCACCAACTCATAAAGCTGGCAATGTCCTTGATCTCATATTCTCAAGGAACTGCTCTACTTCTAACCTCTCTGTAAACCCGCTACACACATCCGATCACTTCTTCATTTCATTCTCTCTATCCCTTTCCAAACATAACAAACTAATCTCTTCCAATTCTGCACCTGTCCGCCGGAACCTTCGTTCCCTCTCCCCCTTTGCCTCATCGGTGCTCTCAGCCCTCCCTTCCTCTGACTCGTTCCAACTCCTTCCTCCAAACTCTGCTGCAGAAACTCTCCTCTCTACTCTCTCATCCTCTCTGGACTCTCTCTGTCCTCTCACATCTCGGCAGGCTCGTCAGTCCCCTCCTGCTCCCTGGCTAAATGATGCACTGCGTGCTAATAGAACCATCCTTCGGGCAGCTGAGCGGAAACAGTGGAAATCCAAACACAATGACAACCTCCTAACCTATCAGGCTCTCCTCTCCTCTTTCTCTGCTTCGATCTCTCGGACAAAAATCACTTTCTTTCAAGATAAGATCCAATCTTCCTATTCCAATCCCAAAAAACTATTTTCTATCTTCTCCACCCTCCTGGACCCTCCAGAGCTCCTTGCCCCTCCTTCCTACTTCCAAGCGACTTTGTTAACTACTTTGAATAAAAGGTGGAAGACCCACCCCTTCACCCACACACTAACCTCCTTTTCCCCTCTCTCTCCAAGTGAGGTTCTTACCCTAATTACCTCTGCCCGTCCTACCACCTGTCCTCTGGACCCTATCCCCTCAAACCTCCTTCAGACTATCGCTCCTGATATTCTACCGTTTCTCTCCCATCTCATCAACACTTCTCTAACTTCTGGTCACTTTCCAAACAGTCTCAAGGAGGCAAGAGTAAACCCTCTCCTAAAGAAACCCACTCTCAACCCGTCTGATGTTATAAACTACAGGCCTGTCTCTCTCCTCCCGTTCCTGTCTAAAACACTTGAACGCGCTGTCTTTAAACTACTCTCCTGTTATCTCCATCAGAACAACCTTCTGGATCCGCACCAGTCTGGTTTCAAGGCAGGTCACTCCACAGAAACTGCTCTCCTTGTGGTCTCTGAGGAACTGCACACTGCTAAAGCAGCCTCCCTCTCCTCTGTCATCATCCGTTTGGGCCTGTCTGCTGCATTCGACACGGTGAATCATCAGATCCTCCTTCGCACTCTCCAAGAACTTGGAGTTTCAGGCTCTGCACTTTCCCTCCTCACCTCATACCTCAAAGACCGCACCTACAGGGTAACTTGGAGAGGGTCCGAGTCCGACACTTGTCAATTAACTACAGGGGTCCCACAGGGGTCCCTCAGGGCTCTGTTCTCAGTCCCCTCCTCTTCTCTCTGTACACAAACTCGCTTGGATCTGTCATTAGCCCGCATGATTTTTCATACCATTGCTACACTGACTATACTCGATTGATTGTGTCCTTTCCCCGCTCAGAGACCCAGGTCGTCGCACACATCTCTGCTTGTCTAGCGGACATCTCTCAGTGGATGTCTGCTCGCCACCTCAAGCTCAACCTTGACAAGACTGAACTGCTTTTCCTTCCGGGAAAAGATTGTCCCACTCTTGACCTAACAATCAACATTGGTACCTCTGTTGTTTCCCCGACTCAGACTGCAAGGAATCTGGGTGTGATCCTAGATAACAACCTGTCCTTCACTGCAAACATCGCTGCTACAACCCGCTGCTGCAGATACACTCTTTACAACATCAGGAGGATACGTCCCCAGCTGACCCAGAAAGCAATGCAGGTTCTGGTCCAGGCTCTCGTCATCTCACGCCTAGACTACTGCAACTCCCTCCTGGCTGGTCTACCTGCATGTGCCATCCGACCTCTGCAGCTCATCCAGAATGCAGCGGCTCGTCTGGTCTTCAACCTTCCTAAATGTTCCCACACCACGCTGCTCCTCCGCTCCCTTCACTGGCTTCCGGTAACTGCTAGAATCCACTTCAAGACAATGGTACTTGCGCACCATGCTGTGAATGGATCTGGCCCTTCCTACATCCAGGACATGGTTAAACCATACACCCCAGCACGTGCACTCCGCTCTGCATCAGCCAAACGACTCGCTGCACCCTCGCTGCGAGGGGGACCCAAGTTCCCATCAGCAAAAACACGTTGGTTTGCTATCCTGGCTCCAAAATGGTGGAATGAGCTCCCCATTGACATCAGGACAGCAGAAAGCTTACACATGTTCCGGCGCAGACTAAAAACTCATCTCTTTCATCTCCACTTCACGCAATAAAATGAAAAAAAACAACAACAAAACTTAGATACTAACTATGCACTTACACTCTATGAAACCTAATGTACTTATATGATTCTGTTTTCTTCAAGTTTGTAACTTCTTGGTCGAATGCACTCGTAAGTCGCTTTGGATAAAAGCGTCAGCTAAATTAAATGTAATGTAATGATAAACTAAATCAGGTATCTATTTGTGTATCAGTATGTTAGAAATGAGTGTGGCAGTACCTGTTTGTCTCTGCTCTGTGTTTATCAGCGGGCAGCAGCAGCAGCAGCTCACTGTTCGTACTTCCAACCAACGACACCACTACCTTACTCATATTTCCATAGAAGATGTGAGCTTCATTGGGCCGCTGAGGCAGGTCGTAGACTTAATAAAAAGGTCAATATATTTAGAAACGTCAATATTTTAGACATGTATTACAACTTCATTCTTAAATTAAATCTATTACTTTTACTATGTTTTCTGTACCTTTATAATAATCTATAAATACACATATATATATATATATACACACACACACATACATACATATATACAGTCCATCCGGAAAGTATTCATACCCCTTCACTTTTTCCACATTTTTGTATGTTACAGCCTTATTTCAATTTGGATTAAATTAATTAGTTTACTCAACATTCTACACACAATACCCCATAATGACAAAGTGAAAAGTGTTTTAAAATAATTTTTGCAAATGAATTAAAAATAAAAACACACAAATATCACATAAACATAAGTATTCACCACCTTTACTCAATACTTTGTTGAAGCACCTTTGGCAGCAATTACAGCCTCAAGTCTTGTTGAGCATGGTGCTACACGCTTGGCACACATATCTTTGGGCAGTTTCTCCCATTCTTCTTTGCAGATCGTCTCAAGCTCCCTCAGCTTGGATGGGGAGCGTCGGTGCAGAGACATTTTCAGATCTCTCCAGAGATATTCAATCCGGTTCTAGTCTGGGCTCTGGCTGAGGCACTCAAGGACATTCACAGACTTGTCCTGAAGCCACTCCTTTGTTATCGTGGCTGTGTGCTTAGGGTCGTTGTCCTGTTGAAAGGTGAACCTTCTCCCCAGTCTGAGGTCCAGAGCAGGTTTTCATCAAGGATCTCCCTGTACATTGCTGCATTTACCTTTCTCTTGATCCTGACTGGTTTCCCAGTTCCTGCTGCTGAAAAACCTCCCCACAGCATGATGCTGCCACCACCATGCTTCACTGTAGGGATGGTGTTGGCCAGGTGATGAGCTGTGCCTAGTTTCCTCCAGACATGATGCTTGGCATTCAGGCCAAATTTGGTTTCATCAGACCAGACAATTTGGTTCTCATGGTCTGAGAGTCCTCTAGGTGCTCCATGTGGGCTTTCATGTGCCTTTTGCCGAGGAGTGGCTTCCTTCTGGCCACTCTACCATAAAGGCCTGATTGGTGGAGTGCTAGAGATGGTTGTCCTTCTGGAAGGTTCTTCCATCTCCACAGAGGAACACTGCGCCGACATTTTTCTGTACCCTTCCCCAGATCTGTGCCTTGATACAATCCTGTCTCTGAGGTCTACAGACAATTCCTTGGACCTCATGACTTGGTTTGTGCTCTGATGTGCACTGTCAACTGTGGGACCTCATATAGACAGGTGTGTTCCTTTCCAAGTCATGTCCAATCAATTGAATTTACTACAGGTGGACTCCAGTCAAGTTATAGAAACATCGCAAGGATGATCAGTGGAAAAAGGATGCGCCTGAGCTCAATTTTCAGTGTCATAGCAAAGGGTGTGAATACTTATGTTCATGTGATATTTCATTCTATTATTTTTAAAACATTTGCGAAAACCTCTTTTAAAAACGTTTTCTATTTGTCATTATGGGGTAGAAAATAATAATTTAATCCATTTTGAAATAAGGCTGTAACATAACAAAATGTGAAAAAAGTTAAGGGGTATGAATACTTTCCGGATGCACTGTATATATATATATATATATATATTTTATTAGGGTAGGTAAGTTTGAGAAACCGTCTTGAGATACACTTTTTGTTATATTCCATGGAATGTTCTTAACATCCCGATAGCAATGAACATCTTAAGTGCTTTGACAAAAAATCCATACAAAAATATCATCTGTGGAAGCCGTAGTACTGTAAAAAGCACGACCACAAACGATCGTGTGTGTTGGAGGAGGGGCTCTGTAAGGAAGTGGCAGATTTTTTCCAGCTGTTATTTTCAAAGTCTAGCGCACTCGAGCGGGTTTCTCCAAAATTACCTACCCCACCTTTAACACCATTTTTTTTTAAGGCCACTAATTATTTTAACGTGCGATTAGCGCATGTGTATTTGTCCTCGGCCTGCTCCGTAGTTTCAGAGCCCAAAGGCTTGACGTTGTTAGTTGGATGGTGGTAGATTCTAGCGAGAAATATGGATACAAAAAAAGGTGTTTTAAACAGCAAGCCAAGCACGCAGCTGATGCTGCCCCGCTCCTGCAGACCGCGCTTGAAAGTTTTCCCGGGGAGACGCCTGGACACGGCGTCTACGAGCAGCAAGCTTTCAACAGCGATAGCTAAATGGGTGGCGGTGGCTACAGCTTGCAGGACAATTAACATTGTGGAGGACGAGGGACTGTGTGAGATCATCCGGATCGTATCCAACGTGTCGACTGCACATCAAAGCGCATTCTTTTGACCCTAGGAACTTCAGTCTCATGCTTTGACTGTTATGAAGACAGAGGAGCGGCATTTAGCCGACAACTGTAAACAGGCATGTCTGTTTGAGCAACTGGCTCAGTGCAGAGAAGTACACAGGGTTGGGAGAGAGTGAGAGAGGTTCCAGGTTGTTGTGTTGAGAATATTCAGGAGAATATTTGTCATTGTTCCAATGATAATAAACAAACATTTGCATAAATGATATTATTATTCCAGCTCTCCTGATCGGCCTTTATAGAGAGCACCGATCAAACTATTAAGAGTGAATATCGGCCGATAATGATCGGCGGCCAATCGATCGAAGCATCCCTAATTATTACCGGACATTGTGACCGGCAGGTTTTGAATTTACCGGTTTTTAATACATTTTACCAGCTAAAAACCGGTAATTAGCAGCTAACGGAAACCCTGATATATATATATATATATATATATATATACACACACTGAACAAAAATATAAATGCAACACTTTTGTTTTTGCTCCCATTTTTCATGAGATGAATGAAAAGATCTAAAACATTTTCTATATACACAAAATAACCATTTCTCTCAAATATTGTTCACAAATCTGAAAAAAAATCTGTGAAAGTGAGCACTTCTCCTTTGCCGAGATAATCCATCCCACCTCACACGTGGCATATCAAGATGCTGATTAGACAGCATGATTATTGCACAGGTGTGCCTTAGGCAGGCCACAATAAAAGGCCACTCTGAAATGTTCAGTTTTATCACACAGCACAATGCCACAGATGTCGCAAGTTTTGAGGGAGCGTGCAATTGGCATGCTGACAGCAGGAATGTCCACCAGAGCTGTTGCCCGTGAATTGAATGTTCATTTCTCTACCATAAGCCGTCTCCAAAGGCGTTTCAGAGAATTTGGCAGTACATCCAACCGGCCTCACAACCGCAGACCACGTGTAACCACACCAGCCCAGGACCTCCACATCCAGCATGTTCACCTCCAAGATCGTCTGAGAGCAGCCACTCGGACAGCTGCTGCAACAATCGGTTTGCATAACCAAAGAATTTCTGCTGTCAGAAACCGTCTCAGGGAAGCTCATCTGCATGCTCGTCGTCCTCATCGGGGTCTCGACCTGACTCCGGTTCGTCGTCGTAACCGACTTGAGTGGGCAAATGCTGACATTCGATGGCGTCTGGCACGTTGGAGAGGTGTTCTCTTCACGGATGAATCCCGGTTTTCACTGTTCAGGGCAGATGGCAGATAGCGTGTGTGGCGTCGTGTGGGTGAGCGGTTTTCTGATGTCAATGTTGTGAATCGAGTGGCCCATGGTGGTGGTGGGGTTATGGTATGGGCAGGCGTATGTTATGGACGACGAACACAGGTGCATTTTATTGATGGCATTGTGAATGCACAGAGATACCGTGACGAGATCCTGAGGCCCATTGTTGTGCCATTCATCCACGACCATCACCTCATGTTGCAGCATGATAATGCACAGCCCTATGTTGCAAGGATCTATACACAATTCCTGGAGGCTGAAAACATCCCAGTTCTTGCATGGCCAGCATACTCACCGGACATGTCACCCATTGAGCATGTTTGGGATGCTCTGGATCGGCGTATACGACAGCGTGTTCCAGTTCCTGCCAATATCCAGCAACTTGGCACAGCCATTGAAGAGGAGTGGACCAACATTCCACAGGCCACCATCAACAACCTGATCAACTCTATGCGAAGGAGATGTGTTGCACTGCGTGAGGCAAATGGTGGTCACACCAGATACTGACTGGTTTTCGGACCCCCCCAATAAAGCAAAACTGCACGTTTCAGAGTGGCCTTTTATTGTGGCCAGCCTAAGGCACACCTGTGCAATAATCATGCTGTCTAATCAGCATCTTGATATGCCACACCTGTGAGGTGGGATGGATTATCTCGGCAAAGGAGAAGTGCTCACTATCACAGATTTTTTCAGATGTGTGAACAATATTTGAGAGAAATGGTTATTTTGTGTATATAGAAAATGTTTTAGATCTTTGAAAATCTCATGAATCTCATGAAAAATGGGAGCAAAAACAATTTATATTTTTGTTCAGTGTATATATATATATATATATATATATATGTGTGTGTATATATATATATATGTGTGTAGGTGTGTATATATATATATGTTCTAAAGGTTTTCAAAGGAACTACCTCGGTGTATAGAGCATCAGTTATATAATTTACGATGAACTGACCACAGGGTATAAATAACTACTAATAAAATAATCAGAAATACATTAGCTAAAATATAAAAACAATGCAGATTGTTACTTTTATAGTATCTACAGTACTAGGAGGTTCTTTTCAACTGTTTTTTTTCCCAAACATAATATCCGCCATTTTTTAAAGACGAGAATGAAAATATAATGTTTGAGTAGCACAATAAAGACATCTTACCCTCTGTAAGGTTTTCTTCTCCCAAAAACGTTTCATAGAAATTGATGTTTTTCAGCAGACTGTTTTCAGACAGAGCCTTCTTCACCGCCTCCGGTTTGCTCTGAAGCAATCTGAAAAGATAACAGCTTTCTTACAAAAGCAGAACCATCTGGAATTGGATGTACAAACTATAAACGCTTTTAAAAGTCTGCTAAACAATGTGTATTCATTCAAAGCTGTTGAAACCGGGCAGCTGCAAAGGGGTTCTAGAAACAGTCAGGGGCCCATAGAGATGGACACATCTTTGCCGACTTGTTATTAAAGGGGAACCTCTAATGCATCGACTGTTTCACTCAGCCATCTGGGTAACCATTGACAACAATATTGAAATTCCTAAATAAAGCTACATCTATATATATCCTGCAGTTTTGTATTTTGTTTGGATCTTGATAGTTTGTCCTTGATTTATTTTTGGGGAAATGTTCCTAAACTGCATGTTTTATTGAAAGAAAAACAGTATATCTACATACACTTACATTTAGTTGCTTTTCTCAAAAGTTATCAAGGAAATATTGTGTTAGAACCATAGGTTAGAACATCGGTCCCTTACCTTGTTCCCTGTCTTATGAGATAATGAATGAATGTTGATGATTCAATACATGTGTTTTAGGGATTTTCTTAATGGCTATTTGTTTTATTCTTAATGACATTCTGTATACCTGTATCTACAGTTGTGTTGATTTGTTAGTGTAAGCTGCCTTATGCTATTTCAGAAGTTGGAATGATGGAAAAAATTGGCTGTAGTTTGAGGCAAAACTTTAATTGCATCAGGGCCAATCACAATTATGGAGTTTCACATAAATATTAATTTGTGAATAACAAATAACACGTGACTATGATGTTATTGTGGAAATAATAAAGAATATATTAAAGGAACTGCTTGTTTGATAAATGTCAACTTCCTCTACATTCTTCCTCCTCCTACTACCACTACTCCCATACACGCCAACATAACTCTTTTAGCAAGTTTACTGAACTAAGCGTCTGAAGGCCTTACCTCCTGTACTGCTGCCTGGAAACCTCATCTCCACAAAACAGGCAGACGGAAGCCAGCATTGCATTGGCCGACTGACATAGTGCTTGTTCTCTTTGAGTGGACTTTATTAGTACAGTTATCACCTGAAAACACAAGCAAATATTAGTAAGAAGGTCATATTTCTGCAAGAAATGTCCAACTACTAAAAAGGAGTACCGTTTCAAAAGCAAACAACATGGCTGAAGCTGTGGAACTTTTTGTTGAAGCTGCTAGTATTGAAAGAAGTGGGAGGGATATTTTTGTTAAAAGAACAATTGCTGCACATAAAAGATTAAAAACTAAAGTGCAGGGATTGTCCCATTATTCTGGATCACTGGGTCCTCAGTGCACCTAACCCATATTGATAACTCTTAACAATGCTCCTTGAAATATAAATTGATAAAAATTTGATAACATTAAAAATTGATAACATTAATTAATGTTGAAGTTGAGATCTACAAGAAATAAAAAGGGAGGGGAAATAGAAATGGAATACTGTTGTTAAAAAGCACCTTATGTTTAAAAGTCTCCTATTTTTAGGCATATATTATGGGTCTCAGATATATAAAAATAAATAAAAAACATGTATATTATGTGTTTTGCTCAAAATACCAAACAGATCATGCATTTTAGACATCCCTCATATCCCTCTGTTTTAGCCCCGTTAGAAAACTGCAGGTTCGGGTTCTTAGCTTGAAAAACAAAAAAAGAGGAGGGGGAACTAATGCCTGCTCAGAATTACCTGGCAGATTCAGCTCAATGCTGCCGTGATTAAACGCCATGTCATGTTCCAAACTACACAGACCATATTACATCCAAAACAGTCGGGCATTGTTTCTGATAGTGCCGTGGGTCTGCATGTCCGATATTACGTAATATCGGACGCAAATCTGGATCAGCTCCGTTGTACCCCCGTTTTTTCGAGATTCAGTTTTATTTTCGGACACTTTGTGCGTTCCCTGACACACGTACTTATGTATAAAAGACATCAAAAAGTGCATTCTGGGTCCCCTTAAAGTGTTTGCAAACCAAATGTTACTGCATTTTTGTTCAAATAGCAGTATTTTTAAAATGAAATTGCGCCACACTACTTTTGAGTTCATTATTGAATGTTGCGCATATCAATTAGATTAATCGCAGAAAATACTTTTTTTTTTAAATATTGCATTAGTATTAATATAATTACTAATTCTGGTGTCTTTTTATTCTATTTTAAGAAACATTTAGAATATCAGTTTTTCACCACTAGTGTGTGGTTCAAATCCGTAATAAAAATTCTCAGCTACCTCTTGTGTCCTTTCCTTAAGCACAAACTGTGACGGGGCGATGCTGATGACAGAGGGTTCCATAACTGATCGTGTCTGCACATCTGAGAAGGCCACAGCTTTGATGAAAGCTGCTCTGGAGCCAGTGTTCCTCACGCAAATACACACTTTACTGACATGACCGACAGCGATGTCAGTCAATGTTGCCACATAGCCGTCGGCCTGTTTTCTCTGGTCCTCCAGAATGATGTTGCACGTCCCACCGTAGCCCGACAGTGGAATCTGAAGATAGGACACAAAGGAATCTAAATAAAGCCAGTCTTTCAATAGAAATGAAGAAAATATGAAAAAGAAACGAGGCAGGAAAAGACCGTAAAAATGGTCAGGTCTGACAGGGGTCACATGCTCACAGTGAATTTGACCCCTGGCTGTGAAGGCCGGACTCCAGACTGTTTAATCTCCAGTTTGGCCAACATGCAGGCCACTCTGGTGGGAGCAAAGAGCAGGTGGACGGTCACATCTTCTCTGGGACGAATGGACAGCTCTCCGTGTCGGGTCAGGCGCTCTTCAGGACTGAACATACTCTGCAGCTGAAAGAGAAACACGTTTTAATACTGTGTTACAGTGTAGCACATTAGTCACATCATCTTTTAGGGTTGTATAGCCGTTCTGTATGGAAGCAAACAAGAGACAGAAGTATTTTGAATTTTATTAGACACCAAATTTATAGCATTGAAAATAATTACTTGAATTTTTTGCTCCGAAATTACCTATGTGAAATAAAAATGTAAAAATTCAAGTGAAAACATTTGAATGCACAATTTCGGTGTTTAAAATTCGACGTCAAAAATGTCGGTGTATAGAATTCAATGTCCAAAATTGCGATGCAGCATCATCCGGACTACTCAAACAGGATAAGCAATCGAGCCCGAATGCAATCAAACCGACTTCTGGCCTATCAGAGCACGGCTTTGTCAATCATGTGATCAGAACAACCCGGGAGAAAAATGATGGAGAACAGTGGGGCTCGGGTAAGTAGTCAGTTTGTGCTCTTTATTTTACAAGCAGTGAGGGCTCGACAGCATTTGTATCTTACATATTAGCTAAATGAGTGAAGTGGCCTTGTGCCTTGCTGTTAGCAAGCTCCGTAGTTATCATTAATTGAAGTTTATCACAACGTTACCGTGTCCTTTTGTGTGTGTGTGGGGGGGGGGGTGACGGTTTGCAAAGTAACGTTACGATCACTTCGGTTAGATAAGTCAAGTAGACCATGCTACACTATACAAATACTCTCTTACAAAAGCCCTGCATTTAAACATGTTAATGTTACTTTAGTAAAAGTATGCTAGTATAATTAGGAAAGTGTTGTTAAAGTATTTAAAGTAGACACAAGTTATACTATTATATTATATCATTTGTTTTATTGTTATTACCGATGCAAGAGTTGACTTAACTGTTGTAGTTGGAGCTCATTTTGAACAATGAGCTAACTAATGATTACTTTCATAATTGTTTAATGTGCTGACTATTTTCTACATTAATAGATGAAGGTCTGGTTTGTTCAAACTCTCAAAATAGTAGGACATGCTGTCATAATTACCAAGAGTCCGGAGTGACACCTTTACAATGTTAAAGCTGTTAGATAAATGTAGTGATGTAAAAACTAAAATATTCAAGATAGTGTAGTGGAAAAGAGATAATGTTTTAAAAACAGGTTACTAAAACAAAATCTCTTGTTTTGGACTGACAGTAATGATTCAAGAAATGGTAGATCAATAATACACATCAATCTGTGTGCATTTGTTGTGGATGGAACACAACAAATGGTGCTCTTACCTGTGATGCCTCCTCCAAACATTATAACCAGACTGTATCATTCAAACTAAAAGTAACAGTTCTAGCTACTTGACTTTAGACACAATTTATTGAAAGACCAATCTTTATTTTACGGTGCCTCCTTTTGTTTGCATTATTAAACCCTGTCAATCTAAAAAAAACTGAGCAACTCAACAGTTAACTTTATATTTCTTATTGTACAAAGCATCTATTACACTATTTTTTCCCCTCTCATATTCACAGGATGGATGATTAGAGACTTTGGGGGAGACCTCAGCTTTATGAACGTCCTGTCTGTTGGTTTGGCCAGAGAGGGCTGAGGGTCTTTCCCTGCGAGGAGGACCAGGCCTGAGGGAGGAGGACCTACACCAGCTGCACCTACAGAACTTAGCCCATGCTGGGCATAGCTGTTACCACCTGCACAGGCCTAGCCTGTCAATTAACAGATTAACATTTAGTGTAACTTATGTATATTATTTCGTTTTTATTTAAAAGAAAATGGTGATGGTTCATGCTTGATAACTTTTAGTTCACATTTCAATAAATTGTATTTGCACTCCTTTTGTCCGTTATTCTTACTGAAAATGTTAAATTACACATTCACATCTGACTGAAGATTGGCACCATTTATTTGTGACGTTGCAAACTCTGCGGTACAAGGCACAAGTATTGTGAACCTCATAAAGTGAGGCAAATGCATTTGATCAGCTGACTTTTTTCTTGCCAAACTTTATAGGCCTGACAATAATCACACTGTCTCTGAGGTGCAACGTAAAACACAAAACAACAATTATGTTCCTGTTAGACTACAAAACTAGTCAGTGTGCAGGTCTTTGTGTTACAATATAAGTGTCTCTTAGTGAATGTCCTGTGCTGCTCTTAAATCTCATAACATCAGCTTTTCCTTTCCCTCTTGGATGTTCTTCTGGACCCTCGGAGAAAGAGAAAATTGTGAAGCAGTCCTGTCTCTCAGGCGTGTCCTTTCCTAACAGAAATATCAAAAAACATATTATTGTAGAGCAAGTGTGTTATTTGAGATAGGTGTGTTTGTTTGTTCAGGGGCTAAAAATATAATGATTTTTGTATTTGAATGCGTTTTTAAATCCAACAGTGTACTACAAAGATAATCAGATTATGAATAAACTGTTCTAAATTCATCAACATTGAAATAAATGTATTATTAAAATAATATGTAACGGTTATCAAAACTTAAACTGTAGAAGCTTGCTCTGTTCGGTTGTCTCACTGAAAGAATCACTTTTAACATGTTTTTTTTACAGTCAATATGCAGAGACAAAGGGTCGCAGCTCTCACTATGTTCAATAATATTTGCCTTAAATACATTGAAAAGTGAAAGTTGAACAAAAAAGTGATGTTGCTTGGTCAAATGTAAATGTAACCTTTTTCTAAGAAAGTACACTCAACATCACTGATGTGTAGGTGATCTAGTATTTAGTCATGTTTAATGGCATGTACAGTGGGGCAAAAAAGTATTTAGTCAGCCACCAATTGTGCAAGTTCTCCCACTTAAAAATATGAGAGAGGCCTGTAACTTTCATCCTAGGTATACCTCAACTATGAGAGACAAAATGAGAAAAAAAAGAACAAAAAAAAATCCAGAAAATCACATTGTCTGATTTTTAAAGAATTTATTTGCAAATTATGGTGGAAAATAAGTATTTGGTCAATAACAAAAGTTCATCTCAATACTTTGTTATCAGTGGCGGGCCGTGCATTTCACATCTAGGCCTTCAGTGATGTCCGACACAGTCCTACCTGAATTATTGTTTGTGGACAGGTGGTAATGCAAGTCTGTGTTGTTCTCAGCAAGCAAAGAAAGAAGCTCCACGTAGTTTCCTCTGTTTCTGGACTCGGCGCTTTCATCATGTCCGCTAAATGAAAGTTCCTGTTTACCCAAAAACAGGACACAATCAATCAGTCTTTTCAATATTTCCCTATTTTTGTTCACCCTTTCGTTGTGGAGCTCCGTTTCCCGTCGCACTTGTTCGTTGAGCTGTAGATCCACTCGGGTGTCCCCAAAGGTTTTCAAAAGCACCATTGCTTGTAAGTGCCCAGCCGTGCTTTGGTGTCTCGTTGCTGCCTTGGTTAGACAACTCAAGTTTGCAAATCCAGTGTGGCTCCAAACACCAAATCGATCATTTGCAAATAGCAGGCATTCCCAGCAGTACAATTTGCAGTGCCTCTCGGAGGCTGTGAGCCAGGGGTACCGCTCGTAGTTAGTGATTTGAAAGTGGCGGACAAACCCTTTCCCCCGCTGTGATAGGCTCGCTAGTGTCGGGGTTGGCTGTTCTCTTCTCACAATGTCTAGCTTTTCTTGAAAAGTTCGTCTTGAAAATGGCGTTGTAATTATATCTGCGACCAAATCGATCTCTTCTCCTCCTTCAGCCATTGTGGGTTGAAAAAAACAGCTTGTAGAAATCTACACAAATTAGCTCGTTCAAATTCAAGTTCAGTTTGCTAGCTCTACATAACTCTGCCTCTCAATAGTGCGTATCCAATCAAAAGACGTGCACGTGCTGACGTCATCGTACGCCTGCTAGCTGGCCCGTTGTCGCCAACTCAAAATCTGATTGGTTAACGCCACAGTTTTGTTTCCGTTCACTTTAAGCTACAGGCGCCCGCACTGTTGATTCTGAAGGCCTAAGGGCAGATTTCTTGGACCCTGGCAACACATTATGGCTGAAATATGATTGGATAAAAGCTCTAACATAAAGGCCAGCCCTCCAAATCTTGTTCTAAGGCTGGAAGCAGCTCAACCAAGAGGAAAGCTATGAAATGAAAAGAATAGACTATGGGGAATAATTTAATACATATTAGTGGAAAAAATATATCAAAATTAAATTTATATTCTGATGATGTTTAGGCCAGCAGAGAAGGCCTTGCTGGCCCTGACGGCCCACCACTGTTTGTTATATACCCTTTGTTGGCAATGACAGAGGTCAAACGTTTTCTGTAAGTCTTCACAAGGTTTTCACACACTGTTGCTGGTATTTTGGCCCATTCCTCCATGCAGATCTCTTCTAGAGCAGTGATGTTTTGGGGCTGTCGCTGGGCAACACAGACTTTCAACTCCCTCCAAAGATTTTCTATGGGGTTGAGATCTGGAGACTGGCTAGGCCACTCCAGGACCTTGAAATGGTTCTTACGAAGCCACTCCTTCGTTGCCAAGGCGGTGTGTTTGGGATCATTGTCATGCTGAAAGACCCAGCCACGTTTCATCTTCAATGCCCTTGCTGATGGAAGGAGGTTGTCACTCAAAATCTCACGATACATGGCCCCATTCATTCTTTCCTTTACACGGATCAGTCGTCCTGGTCCCTTTGCAGAAAAACAGCCCCAAAGCATGATGTTTCCACCCCCATGTTTCACAGTAGGTGTTCTTTGGATGCAACTCAGCATTCTTTCTTCTCCAAACACGTCTAGTTGAGTTTTTACCAAAAAGTTCTATTTTGGTTTCATCTGACTATATGACATTCTCCCAATCCTCTTCTGGATCATCTAAATGCTCTCTAGCAAACTTCAGACGGGCCTGGACATGTACTGGCTTAAGCAGGGGGACACGTCTGGCACTGCAGGATTTGAGTCCCTGGCGGCGTAGTGTGTGACTGATGGTAGCCTTTGTTACTTTGGTCCCAGCTCTCTGCAGGTCATTGACAGGTCCCCCCCCGTGTGGTTCTGGGATTTTTGCTCACCGTTCTTGTGATCATTTTGACCCCACGGGGTGAGATCTTGTGTGGAGCCCCAGATCGAGGGAGATTATCAGTGGTCTTGTATGTCTTCCATTTTCTAATAATTGCTCCCACAGTTGATTTCTTCACACCAAGCTGCTTACCTATTGCAGATTCAGTCTTCCCAGCCTGGTGCAGGTCTACAATTTTGTTTCTGGTGTCCTTTGACAGCTCTTTGGTCTTGGCCATAGTGGAGTTTGGAGTGTGACTGTTTGAGGTTGTGGACAGGTGTCTTTCATACTGATAACGAGTTCAAACAGGTACCATTAATACAGTTAACGAGTGGAGGACAGAGGAGGGTCTTAAAGAAGAAGTTACAGGTCTGTGAGAGCCAGAAATCTTGTTTGTTTGTAGGTGACCAAATACTTATTTTACCGAGGAATTTACCAATTAATTCATTAAAAAATCCTACAATGTGATTTCCTGGATTCTTTCCCCCCATTCTGTCTCTCATAGTTAAAGTGTACCTAGGATGACAATTACAGGCCTCTCTCATCTTTCTAAGTGGGAGAACTTGCACAATTGGTGGCTGACTAAATACTTTTTTGCCCCACTGTATATCAGTGTATTAGAGTCATTACTTTATGCATTCTTTGCAAAGTATGAAAAAGGTGTACCTTGGAATCTGTGCTGAAGTTACCTGCTGTTAGGAGTCCAGATCTGTCTCTCCTCCTCTGGTCCAGCCTGGCTGGATCACCTTAAGGAGACTTTGAACAAACAGATGTAAAGTTACATGCGTGGGTTACAGACTTCTTTACATGCAAACAACCTTTTATCTTCTTTTAAAAACAGGTCATAATCTTATTGTTATACTTAAGAAATTGCTGGATATCACAGTCCTTATACTTTATCAGTTTGATTGAGTATTATTGTGTAGGTACTTTTTATTTTACTGTTACTTTGGATGAGTTTTTCATGAGTCAGTCAAATTAATTTGTTTTCATATGCCATATTCATATGTATCACACGGGTAAGACACAAACCTATTTAACAAATGCAATGGATAAGCTTAATTCTCACTGAAGTCACGGATAACGTAATATCTAATATTTAAACAAATCATTTCCTTGTCACTAAAGCATTGACTACGCTATTCATCATCCTTAAAATGCAGGAATTAAGTTACATGTTCCGTTCTACAGCCACGATAAGGCTGTTTCTCAAGTGTGATGATAATACAATTAAAAGAGGCATTGGTAATAATATTAAAAACAACAATGTTTGGGTCGTTCGTCGGATAGGCGGTTAACTGCAATAACTAACTCCAGTTCAACAAACCATATTATAATATCTAAGGGAGCGTTATTTCTGGACCATCTTGAAATGTGACGTTCATATTTTAAAGATACACACATTTTATTGTGAGGTTGATTTAATATACACCAAGCCTCTCTTCAACAATACGTTGACGTTAGCTAGTCTATTTTATGCTATAGTAGAGCATAGCGAATTGAAATGAACCTTAATGCATAGTAACCTAAATAGCAAACTAACTATCTAACGTACAAGGATGACCTTATTTTACCAACCTCGCACAGAAGCCTTTTGGTATACAGTAGCATCCCACTTAATGTTTTATACTTCTCTATTACGTTTAACTTGGATGCTACACATAGCATTGTTAGCACAGATGGAGCTACCGATTGCTCAAATGCTAACCCAACTCTAAACATTCATTAACGTTAGCTAAATAAAAACACCAGTAACATAACATAAAGTACGCAGGGTTGACTTACCGAAGAAACTGCATTCATGGACGGTCTGTTTTAACCGCAGATAAATCCTATATTTGCATGACGAATAGTCCCCCAGGAACCAACACAACAAACACGGCCGAGTTCAAGTAGTGTTCTCCTGGTGAGCTGAGCCCCTGTAGCGTCACGGAGCCAATGGAGCTAACGGAGCTAGCAGTGAGACAGAGGAGCTAGGAGCAGCAGTTCCGTTGTCATGAAGGGGGGAATCTAACTATATACAGAATATGTTTTTGTGGATCCAGGCTAGAAACATGTTCATTTTCTGATGTTAAGTTGGACATTTTAACATAGGGTCTACGGGAATTGCTCCCATCTGCATCCATCGCCTACAGTTTGCAGCATTGGGCTTCACCGCACTCTGTCCCGGAATTCGCCGCTTGGCTCTGATAGGCCAGAAGTCGGTTTGATTGCATTCGGGCTCGATTGCTTATCCTGTCTGAGTAGCCCGGATGATGTTGCATCGCAATTTTGGACATCGAATTTTAAACACCGACATTTTTTAACGTCGAATTTTAAACACCGAAATTGCGCATTAGAATTTTTTTCACTTGAATTTTTGGGATCTGAATTTGACTATTCAAATTTTTTTTAACTTGAATTGTTACATTTTTATTTCACATAGGTAAATTCGGAGCAAAAAAATTCAGATACATGATTTTCAAAGTAATTATTTTCAATGCTATAAATTTGGTGTCTGATCAAATTCAAATACTTCTGTCTCTTGTTTGCTTCCATAGTTCTGTTTTATATAAACAACTATGGCACTATGACAGGATGTGCAAACACAAAAACAGGATGTGAGAAAGATAAAAGAGAATAGAGATGTCATGTTTTCCAATTTGCAAATATTACAATCTACCTGAAAACAATCCTGGTCTTGACCACGGATAAGCAACCGTAGCTGCTGTGTGGCGTCGGTCGAATTGTTCCTTAGAACCAGCTTCTGTTGCCTGGAAAGCAATGGCAGATAAGTAATGTAATAACAATTTGTGTCCAGCAGTCCCATGTCAAACTAAATGTCTTTGACAAACTTTGATTTGATATTGAGTGATTATATTTTTGTCCTGACTCCAGACCTAATAAGACAGCTGAGCTAAACCTGGGTCCAAGAGAAAGAATGCATGCATTCATTGTGTTTGGGAATTTTAGCTCCTTACTGCTGTCAGTACTTTACCTCCATTCAATGAGAAATTGTCCATTATGTTGCAATAGCTTCTGAGAAATAACACTCCCTATAGACTTCTGTCCCTTCTTATGAACACCATTACACAAGATTGAATTGAAAAACATAGACGACTGGACTTCAGGTTTTTTATGGATTACTTTTCAATGAATAATTGATACCTATAAGTGTTTTATTTAGTAACAAAAACAAATTATGAAATTAATGGAAAGGTTACTTACACAGCTCGTCCCAGAGTGACTCCTCCCCAGGCTACAAACTGTTTATTAGAGAGAATTGGTGGAACATCATTGGCCACAGCGGGAACAACGACATCAGCAGAGGGACTGGGAGCTTTCCCTGAGTCCTCTGGGACAACTTCGCCTTTCAGGGTTACCTCATACTGAGGACCTGATGGCAGCACCAAGATGGTGAGAAGGCTGCAACAAAACAAGCACCACCAAGTCAATCCAAATGGGTTGTAAAGATGGCCACTGAAGATGTGACATGTTTGGGATATACAAGGAAATAACCCAAGACTCTTGCTTATGAACTGTTCATCTAAGCATATCAAGTCCCCCTAATATAAAGAGATAAGAGATGTCAAATGCATTATGTTGTACTTTGTATCCAATGTACAGAACCCATAGCTGTCCATGTGAACTACTGCAAAAGCAATTTATGTTTGTATACCTTTCTTGATATTTCCTGCTGCCCTGTGCTTTGAAGGAGACCACGATGCCTTGCTCCTCTCCCATCCTCAGGGACAGTTCATCAGGTGTCACAGAAAAAATGTCCTCAGCATCACTGCACTATAGAAGGAATATAAGTGAGAGGGCAAATGTTTGAATGAGGCACGATAATGATGGGAGGCAACAAGGAGGAAGAGATGGAGAATAAAAGTAGCTAAATAGCAATGAATCCCTACTGTATGTTTCACAGTCTGAGCACAAAATGTCACAGAGGCTTACCCAAACGCCAGATCGGATTGGAAAAGTAAAGGTCAGAATTACCTTGAGTTTCAGCTGCACGTCAATGTTTCCAGCATTCTTTAATGGCAGCGTCTGTTGACTAGATTTACCCAGTGGAACAGACAGACTGACAGTCTAGACAAAAGAAGCACAAAAAGTATTTTACGGCCATCTCTAGAGGCCAAGAAAAGCTGAACAAAGAACTAAACATGATGATGATGAACATGATACAAAAGTTAAAACAAACTAAATTGCTTGTATTCATTATTGATCTAGTCATTTCATTTCCCAATGTCTTTTGACATCATATGAAACACAACCAACCCTTTTAAATGCAGTTTTTGAAATATCAGACCCATCACGTTAAAACAAAGAAAAAAAACAGCAACATTTCAAAGTTTTAAGTGAGTGAGTGCACATGCACATGAGTGCTCATGTGTACTTGTACAGATGTCAAACTAATTCTCCATCTGCTTGCTGCGGTTTAAACATTTGGATGATACTCATTTTACAATTGCAAGATATGGCTCTATGGCGAAGACTATCTCACAGTTAAGTTTAACTAAATAACCTATTTTAAAGTTGCGTAAGCTACAGGCTTACTGCTTTTAAACAGAAATATTAAGAAACTGATTACACTTATTGTCCAAATTGGTAAGTATATTCCATGCATTTTCTTTTTTGAGACTACTTTTTTCATTATCTTTAAAATATACCTTGTTCGGGTAAAAGTGGTTTCCAGTTCAATTAAATTGGCTAATACAATTCAAGCTGGTGTATCTCATTAATCAGAGACACAAACGTAAATAACAATGTGTTTGAACTGTAGTGGTGGGCAGAGATACACTGTCAGTCGACAAAAAAAACATAGCAGTTTTACTACCTGCAGGTCTTTAGGAGCATGGACCCTTGCAGTTCCACATTTGGCCTTGAGGGGAACACTCCTGATCACATGACTAGGACCAGGAGAATCCACTTCAATGTCCACACGACCATTGTACTCATCAGCAGGACCAAGCTCTCCTGACAAGCACAGCCACACACAGATAAGGTTAACAGAAAATATTTGGTCTGTAAGTACATTTAAAATGGTTTGTGTATGTATGTTTCAGCTGATAGTCTTTAGTGTCATAGAACTCCAGGTGTACAATAATGAGAAATGCAAGGATGGATATTGGACCAAGTCATTGTTTTGTAAGTCACAAGTAAGTCTCAAGTCTTTGCACCAAAGTCCAGAGTCAAGTCCCGATGGGCAAGTCCAAAACTTTGAAAAAAAAGTCTTAAACGAGTCATTATGTGCTTTTTTAATATCTAAAACGTACACAAATGAGTGCTTTTACACAATGTATTAATTTCTCAAACAAGTTGCCCCTGAACTAAAAAAATAAAGAGTACCATAACACTAATACAAACAAAAACAATCAGTAAATGCATAGTTGTTCATTATTGAATTGCAGATCAAACTGCTCTTTATTCGTCATATTAATAATTTACTAATCAATTTTCTCTCTGCTGGTAAAGTAATGTGTTTTTTTCTATTCCCTGTGAAGCCTAACACATCAAATAATAGTCAGAACATTCTACATTTTTTAATTTAAATTGAGGTGTTTATTGAACCTTTTAACAAAATACAACAAAATATTTGGTAATTATTTACGTACAGTGGGGCAAGAAAGTATTTAGTCAGCCACCAATTGTGCAAGTTCTCCCACTTAAAAATATGAGGCCTGTAACTTTCATCCTAGGTATACCTCAACTATGAGAGACAAAATGAGAAAGAATAAAAATAAATAAATAAATAAAAAATAAAAAATAAAAAAAATCCAGAAGATCACATTGTCTGATTTTTAAAGAATTTATTTGCAAATTATGGTGGAAAATAAGTATTTGGTCAATAACAAAAGTTCATCTCAATACTTTGTTATATACCCTTTGTTGGCAATGACAGAGGTCAAACGTTTTCTGTAAGTCTTCACAAGGTTTTCACACACTGTTGCTGGTATTTTTGGCCCATTCCTCCATGCAGATCTCTTCTAGAGCAGTGATGTTTTGGGGCTGTCGCTGGGCAACACAGACTTTCAACTCCCTCCAAAGATTTTCTATGGGGTTGAGATCTGGAGACTGGCTAGGCCACTCCAGGAACTTGAAACGCTTCTTACGAAGCCACTCCTTCGTTGCCCGGGCGGTGTGTTTGGGATCATTGTCATGCTGAAAGACCCAGCCACATTTTCATCTTCAATGCCCTTGCTGAGTTGTCACTCAAAATCTCACGATACATGGCCCCATTCATTCTTTCCTTTACACGGATCAGTCGTCCTGGTCCCTTTGCAGAAAAACAGCCCCAAAGCATGATGTTTCCACCCCCATGTTTCACAGTAGGTATGGTGTTCTTTGGATGCAACTCAGCATTCTTTCTTCTCCAAACACGTCTAGTTGAGTTTTTACCAAAAAGTTCTATTTTGGTTTCATCTGACTATATGACATTCTCCCAATCCTCTTCTGGATCATCTAAATGCTCTCTAGCAAACTTCAGACGGGCCTGGACATGTACTGGCTTAAGCAGGGGGACACGTCTGGCACTGCAGGATTTGAGTCCCTGGCGGCGTAGTGTGTTACTGATGGTAGCCTTTGTTACTTTGGTCCCAGCTCTCTGCAGGTCATTGACTAGGTCCCCCCCGTGTGGTTCTGGAATTTTTGCTCACCGTTCTTGTGATAATTTTGACCAATTTTATCAGTGGTCTTGTATGTCTTCCATTTTCTAATAATTGCTCCCACAGTTGATTTCTTCACACCAAGCTGCTTACCTATTGCAGATTCAGTCTTCCCAGCCTGGTGCAGGTCTACAATTTTGTTTCTGGTGTCCTTTGACAGCTCTTTGGTCTTGGCCATAGTGGAGTTTGGAGTGTGACTGTTTGAGGTTGTGGACAGGTGTCTTTTATACTGATAACGAGTTCAAACAGGTGCCATTAATACAGTTAACAAGTGGAGGACAGAGGAGGCTCTTAAAGAAGTTACAGGTCTGTGAGAGCCAGAAATCATGTTTGTTTGTAGGTGACCAAATACTTATTTTACCGAGGAATTTACCAATTCATTCATTAAAAATCCTACAATGTGATTTCCTGGATTCTTTCCCCCCATTCTATCTCTAATAGTTGAAGTGTCCCTAGGATGACAATTACAGGCCTCTCTCATATTTTTAAGTGGGAGAACTTGCACAATTGGTGGCTGACTAAATACTTTTTTGCCCCACTGTATATGATTTTGTTTTTGTATCATATTTGATACGTCAGGCCTTTATGGCAATGTATTGCACAACCCGAACCAACAGGCTGCGACAAAGAAGGGAGATGTGTGCCACAACGTAAGGGGTATTGCGGGGGAACTGCGCTCCTTGATCTTTTGGGGGTTCCAGCTACACTGGCCCAGGTGCCACCCGTGTGGCTGATTAGACGACAGCCCCGCTCACCTCCAGGAACCTGCTAAGACAAACACAAGCAGGCACCCTGGAGTGGGTGGGGCCGTCCAACATTTCAACTGATTTTGTTCCATTTTTTTTTTTTAACAGGAGCCCTTTTACAAGCTCTATTTTGCCTTCTGTAGAGGTTCCATGCATTGATAACTGCCACTGTGACAGTGTGCCACCAAATGTACATGTACCATCTCCGGGATTTTAAGCTGAATTTGTAGAGTGCAGACAGCATATCAAGGAGGTCAACACCTCCCATGAACTTGTTGTATGCTTCAACAATGGCTGGTCTGGGAAGCATAATGTGTGTCTTGGTTTTTCAATCCCACCTTTTCACACTTCCAGTTGGTTCGATGCCAACATAAGAGGAGAGTAGGTTCACAGCTTTGTTGTCAAACCATCTAACGATGATGATGTTTTCCTGGTTTACTCTGAAGTCCATTGACCCTCTTCCCTTTTTCTTGAGCTCTTTTTCATCCATCATGTTGCAGTCTTTGACCCTGTTCATTCGGACAGGGCCTATGTAGTGGATTCCTCTCTCTTTCAGGTGGTTGACCAGTAGAACTGATGTGAAATACTTGTGATTTCTTCCTGCTGGAAGGGTTGATGTCATTTTCAGGACAACATCTCCAGTAACACCAACATCAGATCTCTCCTTGTCTGGATTTTCTGGACCTTGACAAACATCAAAGTCATAAAGGTAGCCACTTTGTCCAGCACGTCCCCACATCTTGAACCCCCATTTGTGAGGCTTTGCTGGCATATAAACACGAAGATGAGACTTTTCCGTTGAACGGCACCATCATTTCATCAACGGCATGACATTCTTCAGGAGGTATGCATAGGAATTGTATTAGCAGATAACTTTTATTCTCCGATTTTTACATAAAAATGGAATTATGGAATATCAATAATATTTTCAAAGTGACAGACACATTGGATTAACTTTCAGCTGCTTTTTAATCGTTTTCAATCAACGTTTGATCAGTATAACAGCTAAGGTGAGACGATGTTCCGTTTTTGCTCCGTAATGCTACGTGTTGTGATGTCTATGTTCGAAAAAACACCCCGCAGCCAGGGCCGCCTTAATGCACGGGCTGACCTGGGCTGAAGCCCAGGGGCCTACGGAGATTGGGGGCCTATCATGAGCCAATAAAAAATAAAAATAAAAAATTCAAATATATATATTTTTTTTCCGGGTGTTTTTTAAACATTTTAAATAAACAAAGTCTTGGCTTTCAGAATATGAAACTTTTATTTCCAAAATCACACGATAAATATATTTTTGAAGCTTGTAAAGGGAAGATGACAGCTCTCACTCGCCACCCTGCTCTTCCGTAGCGCCGCCCCTCCCTCCGGCTGAAATTATGAATGTAAGGTGTATAGTAGTCATAGATAACACGGCAGGGTCCGTTACAGTTTGTTTTCATCTGATTTCAAATAAACAAAGTCTTGGCTTTCAGAATATTAAACTTGTCTCGGCAAATTCAGATGATAAATACAACTTTGAAGCTTGTAACGGCATAATTACAAGCGGAGAACGGAGTAACTTGACATTACAGCAGGCACAACAACAGCCGGTGTTTCTCGTGAGTGTTTTCCCGGGAAACAAACACAATACACACACAAACGCAAAATTACACAAACACACACACACGTATATACACACACACTCGTGAGCTTCCCCCAGACCAGTAATCCAAACGAAAATATCTTCCCTCCGTACTATTTTGATCATTTGCTCCGCTAATCAATCAGATCGATGGATTCCAGAGATGACTCCGTAAAAGTCAGTGGGCACCACTTAACAGCCAATCAGAATGAGAATATGTTTCACATGTGACTTATTCAAATTGCGAGTGATTGAGTGACAGATGAAGGTTGTTTAGGAGAAAATGTCGGAGAAGAAAAAGTTTGAGAGTGGCTCTCGGAAAAGAAAATTGTTGAGGGAAAAGGAATTTCGAGACAAGCAGCTATTACAAAACATGCCGAAGCTTACAGGTTATTTTAAACCTGTAGGCCAGGATGAGGAGGAAGGACAGATGAGTTCTGTACCGAGCGGCAGCGGTGCCGGCCGCGGGGCCTCGGAGCCAAGTAGGCCGTCTGGTTCTGATAGCGATGGAGTAGCGGGAGAGGAAAAACAGACAGGAGGGACATTATCTGTTGGTGGAGATGGAGAGGACGACGAGGACTTGCTACGTAGAGGGGAGTAGGGCTGCACGATTTTGGGGAAAAAAAAAAAAAAAAAAAAAAAAATCTAATTGCGATTTTTCTGACAAATATTGCGATTTGCGATATTTGTTTTTAAGCGACCCAACGGAAGTTTATTGTAAAATGCGGCCATAACTCCGGCTAGGAAGGTCGTATCAACGTACTCCCGTCTCTAGCACCCCCCGCAGCCCGAGCTACGAGTGAAAGAACTAAACTTACATGAAACTTCCGTTGGGTTGCTTCAAAGTCAAGCTTCAGTTTCACTCTGTAATAGAAACACGTGATGGAGCATTACTAACCTGACTCAGATGGTTCACCAAACCATCTAAAGCTCCATTGGAAGCCATTTGGAAAGGGCAGGCACTTTCAAAAACACTTGGCAGGTGATTGGATCAATCTGTCTATCACCTTCTATCATGGGCCACTTCTGATTGATTACCAATGGCTGGTACATGTGGAGCACAGCACTTCTGATTGGTGTGGATGACTGACACACAAGAAGAAAAAAATATATTGTAAGAAAAAAGAAAGAAATCGCAGGCTTTGCGATTTGATAATCGCATCATTTAAAATCGCGATTTCGATTTAAAATCGATTAATCGTTCAGCCCTAGAGGAGAGCCAACGGCAACCGGACAAATACATGAGGGAGGCCCGATACGTCACTAATCTCGAGGAGAGGACCAGGCGCGCGTAGAGCAGAGTGGAGAAGTGCGATCACAGAGCCTGCCGAGGCTATAAATGACTTTGATTTGTTGTTTAAATAGGGGGCCTACAAAACCCATCAGCCCCAGGGCCTGATGGCAGGTTAAGGCGGGCTTGCCCGCAGCCCCTGACTGAGGGGGCTCTCGGCTTAACAGGTTAATTAAATAATCTAAACCGTGTTTTTGGCATTGTGGTAAGCATAATGCAGATTGCATCATGAAATGTACTACAACGACACATATTTTCCAACGTCACATATTTTCCGGAGAAATGTACTCAAAAACCTGCTGTATACTATTTGATACATACATTTTCAACACGATTTCTCTATGAAATAAGCTACAAAATATAAACTGATTATAAGTTGCTTCAATACAGTAAATATTCATAGTGAAATATCAGTAACAATATAAAAGTAATTCTTACCGTAATTTATTCAATATTGGCAAAGATGACGTTTCCAAAAGCGTCTGAACCGTTACATGACGGTAGCCATTTTGGATTTGGTCATTAAAAGCGATCTACAGCCGGCAGTGCCCGAATGATCCACCAGAGGGCAGAAGACATGTATCACATTGCATACAACAGGTCTTTTAGGAACGTACTAGTCATTTGGATGAAGTAGAGGTCTCAGACAGTGTTGACAACTTGGCGATTTTCTCGTTAAATTTGGCGGCTTTCCAAACCCTCCAGCTACTTATTTGTGTCAAAAGCGACTAACGACTAATCTAACGATTTATAATGGTGTTATTAGGGACTTTTCTAGTGTTTGGAGACTCACGTAAGTTAACGAGCCGCGGGTGCTGCCGTGAGCCCCGCCTCCCTCCCATAGTACTCACAGGCGCTCAGACTGACAGTTGCCTGGCCGCAGCAGAGCAGAGAGGAGACAACCACACTCCCCCGCGTCGAGACTGCAAATGAATTGCGCATGCGCCAACTGCCAAGCCGTCCTGGTTTTGAGCGGGATTTAAATGTAAATGTTTCTTCACTCACTTTCACACTATAATAAATAACTGCCTTTGCTTTGCTTGACTCACACAGCCTCAGTCACTCAATCACCTCGTCCACTGTGTGTGTGCCTCTCTGTGACAAGCTAAACATCATGGCACAGTCTAAATTGTATTCTCAAAAATACAGAAAGGAGTGGGAATCAAACCCTGAGTATAAAGGATGGTTGAAGCCATTTATTGGAGATGATACACGGGCATACTGCCTTTATTGTAAGGGGGATTTCTATGCCAAACTGTCATGTTAAAACCCCAAAACATACTCAAAAGGCAAAGACATTTCTGATCTACTGTAGTCTGGATTTACCTCCGGTGGTTTCAAGTTTTGATCCTTGAAGGGTTGGGAACGTGTTTTGTACTCCCCTCTACCATGCTCTCTCCTACAGCCGCCATTACATGATATGCAAATCAGGCGATGACGTCATTTAGCGACTTCTGGCGACTTTCCGGTAGCCAATAGCTACTTTCCTTACTATGGAGTTGGCAACACTGGTCTCAGAAACTCATGTATCAAATATGATACACTTGGCATTATAGGGTTGGAGGGAACAGTAAGGTTGGGCTACTGTGACGGTTTGATTCAGAATTAGTTTAGTTTATAAGATCCCTGATGTTAAGTTGACCAGAATGTTTATTTCCACTGTGTACAACATGTTATAAGGGACCCACAATCCATTTATTTGTAAGGGATGATGTGCAGCGAGGTGGTCATTACTTACTACGTTAAGTAGGTATAAAGAATAATACTTTATTGGTCAGATCAAGTCTGAAATTTGACTTGCATCACAGCAGCTCCATAGCCGCGTTCACACCGCAGTACTTTTCCCATCTTAGTACCGATATAGTTCCGAAATGTCGCGTTCACACCAAAAAGAGCCGGAACAAAAATTAGTTCATCAGAACCTTTTTTACCCCCTTTTCCTTCCCTGCTAGAAAGCAGGTACTTTCATGGGAGAAAAAGGTTCCTGTCTGATTGGCTGGGCGGAATGCAAACCACGCCCCGTAAAACTCCCAAAAAGTTTTGTGAAGCCGCCATTTTATTATCCTCGCATTAGCATTAGCATTCGCCCAGCGCACAAACGCAGAGAGACTAACTTATGGCAACACAAAATAAAACATGGGAGCGGTGGAGATGAGGAGGTGTCGGCGTTCTGGCGATTTACTCGGAAGGCTTCAGTAGAAGCTGCTGGGAGTCCCAGCAGCTTCTACTGAAGCCTTCAGAGTAAATCAGTCCCCAACTCCGGGGGACTTCCGGCCTGGGACCTTGGGTGTAGTGTTGCCAACTCCATAGTAAGGAAAGTAGCTATTGGCTGTCCGAAAAGTCACCAGAAGACCCTAAATGACGTCATCGCCTAATTTGCATATCATGTAATGGCGGTAAAAAAAAACGTTTCACCCCCTTCAAGGATCAAAACTTAAAACCACCAGAGTAAATCCAGACGACAGTAGATCAGAAATGTCTCTATTAGACAAAGTAGAAATAGTTTTAAGTAGAAATCCCCCTTACAATAAAGGCAGTATGCCCGTGTGTCATCTCCAATAAATGGCTTCAACCATCCTTTAAACTCAGGGTTTGATTCCCACTCCTTTCTGTACTTTTGTAAATACAGTTTAGACTGGGACATGATGACCTACCTACGTGAATGTTTAGCTTGTCACAGAGAGGCACACACACAGTGGACGAGGTGATTAAGTGACTGAGGCTGTGTGAGTCAAAGCAAAGCAAAGGCAGTTATTTATTATAGTGTGACAGTGAAGAAACATTTACAATTTACATTTAAATCCCTCTCAAAACCAGGATGGCTTGGCGCATGCGCAATTCATTTACAGTCTCGACGCGGGAGGGTGTGGCCGTCTCCTCTCTGCTCTGACTGCAGCTGAGCTGCTGCGGGAAGCAACTAGCGCCTGTGAGTACTATGGGAGGGCAGAGGGGCTCACGGCAGCACCCGCGGCTCGTTAACTGCTGAACAATACGTGAGTCTCCAAACACCAGAAAAGACCCTAATAACAGCATTACAAGTCGTTAGATTAGTCGTTAGTCACTTTTGACAAAAATAAGTAGCCGGAGGGTTTGGAAAGCCGCCAAATTTAACGACAAAATCGCCAAGTTGGCAACACTGTTTGGGTGGCAGTATACTCCGTGAAGTTGTTTGCGGCCTGCCAGTAAACCCAAAGCAGAAGAAGGAGTGACGTCAGCGGCTTCATTTGCCTAATCCTTCCCCAGGAACTTATTCCGGTGCGAACGCGATCTGTCGGCTTTACGAATCCTGCACTCAGCTTTGCTTTCTCAAATAGCATTGAAATGCAGCCAGAAGCTTCTTTTTCTGTTTTCGCTCATTTCTTGACTTTTTCCCCTACGTGCTTACATTTGAATCCGTCTCCCCTTCTTTCTGACTCTCTGTGCAGCTGGCCTCTACCACTATACTTGCTATCTTTGGAGCGTCTGCCCCCCCCTCCCTTCTTTCACATAATGGTATGATCCTAGTGCGTCCTCGCATATGATTGGCCGCATAGTGTGCCCAGCCAAATAAAGTCCCGCCTCTGCCTGCATGGATTTTCAGCAAAGCTGAGTAGGAGCGGCTGAAGCTTGCGATCGACGCGTTGAGACCCCTGCATTAAAGTATCAAGTCTAATCAAGTCGCGAATAATTGGTGTTCAAGTCCAAGTCGAGTTGCAAGTATTTTGTGATATTGTCAAGTCGAGTCAAAAGTCATACAATTTGTGACCTCTGGCAGTTACTATAATAAAGTGTCAAGTATCTAATCCAAATAGATTACCTGAAGTAACTGTGTACTTCTGAGGAGCCTTAAAGTGAACCCAGACCATAAAGCCCTGTGGATTCTGAAAAAAGAGAACAAAAGTGCAATTTGTCATGTTACTGATGAAGCAAATTCTACTGCTTACTATATAGAGAATTAGAACTGTGAAACTATGTTACCCATATCTCTACCCGTCTTATCACAGCAATAACACTTTTAATTTTGGTGGATACCACAATTGCCTGAGCATGCTTTAGTTAAAACACAAAAGAAAAACTGGCAGAATGAATCAATAATAAAATAAGAGACCAAGAAGCTGAATGAGGTTATAAGGATTATGGCAATTCTAACCTGTTCGTAGCTGGCATGCATCACATGATTCATCACCGAGGGAGAGGACACTCCGGCCATGTGTCCAGCCTGCTGTGTCGCCTCAGATGTGTTGGTAACAGGGTGCCTGGAAAAGGTGAAGCACCTCCAGGCTGTAGCGTTCTGGGTAAAAGAGATGTGAAAAATGAACCACTCAGATATTGTTTATCATGCTCACTGCTGTGTTTTTTCACTTTTGCATTGCAAAGAAAAGCAAGTGTTGGTAATGAGAACATTTCTAAATGGTACTATTTACTCACTGCACTGATGACCAGACGGATGGGCACTGTAGCATGAGTCATGTTGAGCAGTTTGAGAGGAAGGGATCTGGCACTGCCTCCTGAAAGGTCTCCAAAATCCAGACAGCCTGATTCATTTAATTCAACCTGGGAATCAAACTCAATTTAAGAACCTTTCTTGCAATTGATAAGCAACATATTCGATTTAAATAAAAGTGTGATTAGCATTGAATCTCTACAATATTAAAACACAATGTTGAATGAATCTCTGAAGAGTGTGATCTTTGCACTGGGGCCCTTACCTCTAGCGCAGGATTCTCTGCTATAGCAACCAGAACAACTCTTTTAGCAAAGATGTTGGCCCTGGCTGCAACCTCTGTCTCGGCAGATGCAGGCCAGGAGCAAACACTAAAGACACACTGGTAGACACCAGCCTGTGGAGGGATAAACAACAACTTCTGCTCCTCTGTACTCTTGGGGGCAATGATGGTCTTGTTTTTCACTATAAGCCACTGGAACGGGAGGCTATCCACCTGTAGGGTTGGCAACAAAGACAGAAGTAAGAATTTGAGCATTGTTGTCAGTAGGGGTGAACCTGAATATGAACTATTAAGCGATTTAAGGAACCAGGTTAACTGTTAATCTTACAGTCAATCATACAATACAGCTTTATTTATAAAGCACTTTAAAACCTCCATACCAAAGTGCTGTACTGTCAAATAAACAAAACATACAACAAAGTAACACAGCTCAGCTCACACACACACCATAAAACAAGCACAAGAAAAAACAATAGACAATTTAAAAGCAACAATCTACAAGATGTCAATACACTAAGGAGAAGAGCTGGGAATTCAGAAGCGATTTATAAACAGACAGTGTGGAGGCCTGTCTGATGTGCAGGGGCAGATCATTCCAAAGTGTTGGAGCTGCTACAGAGAAAGACCCCCTCTGAGCTTAGACCTGGTTCTGAGCACATTCAGGAGACTCAAATAATTTTGCAAGTTATTACAAGCTGACGATACAATTTTTATGATATTTGTTGCATTATGCTCTTTGCCACTGTATAGCATCAAGCCAACTCTGCTCACCTTCTCTCCATCAATGGCCAAGCTGGTGACAGTAATTGCTACTTGCTGCCATCTCTCCGAGGGGTTGAAGAGACTCAGGGAGGTTTGTGAAGCGATGCCTACACAGCAGGTGTGAGGGAACCGCAGTTCTTCTGGCACCACCACTTGTCCTGAGGATGACAGTGGAACAGGGAGAGCTGATACAGGGAAATGCTGCCACTCCATGGAGAACAAGTTGGAAGTGGTGTCTTATTGTAGAAGGAGACGATCTTGCAGCAATTAAAAATTCAGAGTGAAAATGCTTGATACAATTTTCTAAAACAAAACAAATAATTGTCGTCCTGTATTTAACAAAACAGTTTTCCACAAACTGTATATGACTTATTATGGTATTACAAGATAAAAGATTAAGAAGAAAATCATTTCAAGAGTGTACACAATATAATAAAATAGGTAAAGGAAGTGAAGTCCATGGCTACCTCTCAGATCCTCAAGACCACCAGTCCCAATTGGCTCTACACCATATTGACTGAAGGGTTTTCCCATCATTCCCGCATCCTGCTGGCCATGATGGGGTCTATTGAGGTGATGTGTTCCAGCAGAGCCAGGAATCCCCAGAGGAACTGATGTGGGATGGACGTGTCTCCCTGTTAGTTCAGTGTTGGGTATGCCTAGTGAAAAAAATGGAAGTGAGAGAACTAATTTATCTCATTGTATTATATATTATTGGGGCTTTAACCATCATGTTGCATCATTATTAACTTTGTAGTGGTTTTGGTATATCTCATTCACGAAAGCAGAGACAAAAGACATGCCTGTAGAGGACACACTGAAGAGACCATGTCCTGTTGCTCCCATATGATAGGCACTAGGATGTAATGGAACTTCAGGTCCCAAATACTGCCGAGTCGGCTGTGAGTTGAAAAGTGAGCGTCCAGCGAGAAGGGACTGTATATCTCCTTGGTGGGGAGGGTCAATCAAGCCAGCACACTGGGGATTAAAGCTGGGGATGGGTACATAGTGAAGTCCCCCTGATGTGTATGATGGCATTCCAAGGCCACCCGCATACACTGACGATGCCATTGAGCTAGCAGCTCCCCACTGAGAGCTTGGAGGTGCACTGCTGTTAGTTTGCTGAATGTTCAGATTACTGCAATAGCCTGAGTCCACTTTAGTGAGCTGTCTTACATTGGACTCAGAGATGTGCTTGTGGTTCCCGTAACCTGCTGAGAGATCCCCAGGTCTGTCTCCGGGGAAGTGGTAGTTACATTCACTCTGGCTGCGAATGCATCTCAGACCAGATGCACTACGTGAGGGCTCTGGGCTTTTACTCTGCTGTGCTGGTAGTGGGTCCAGACTTTTAGAATGCTGTGGTCGCACCTGGTCCAGGCTTTTAGGCAAGCCAAGAATATCTTGGGCAGACTGTTCATCTTGATCCAGAGGTGGAGTTGGACTGAACCTGATGATGGTGGAGCTCAGTGCCATGGTACAGTTATTCTGTGGACAGAATAACAACTCAAGATAATTTATACGACACTTGTGAGTAATACATACACAGAAAAATTAAATATACATATCATTTTTAATATAAGGTTATCTGTGCATTTATCCAATCCAAATATTAAAAGCAGTGGGAAGCTATTATACAGCGCCAGGAAGCAGTGTTGGGGTCCCAGTGCCTAGATCAAGGGCACCTCTGCAGTGCCCCGAAAGCAAACCGGCACCTGTTTTTTTTTTTTTTTTAAATGTGTCTCGTAGGACCTGAAGTTTACCTTGTAAAACAGCACGTAAGTACAGACCATTTTGCTTTGTGTAACATGAGGGGAGCTTTTAGTATGGTTTCATCTAAGGTTATTCTTGCATTAATTAGTGCGAATGCTATTTACAGCATTCCACTATAGCTCTTTGAATCTTTATTCCCCTTATTTCAGCCAATACTTTGGCTCTCCATAACTTCAGCTTACTTTCAGCTACAGAAACCATTCAAATATTAAACTATTCAGCCTTTTCAGGAATCGATGGGAAACTTTCAACTTTTTAAAAATATTTGATACTTTTTCAAATATTCAGCTTTTTAAACTCTTTTTTTAACATGGAAGTCAATGGGACGACTCTTCAAATCCTCTTTTCCTACACCTTGCGCCAAATGCTTCTCCTTCCACCAAATGCTTCTCCTTCCACATACTTTCAGCTAGATACTTCATTCCAACTTTCAAAATGATCACAAGGCCTTCAGCTATTCAATTCTTATTCAGATTGTTGATATATTTTACACTTGAGTGCTTTGATGTCAAAACAGAGTGGCGGACAGCTTGAAATTCGCCCAAAATTCTTTTTTCAACTAGCCATAATTCCCAAACCCTACACTCCTGAGACATAATTGTTCATGTAAAATGTAGGAAAACCTCTCCTAGGTTGTAAAATTTAAAAATAATTAAGAACAAATAGTAAACAAAATGCCTCTTGAGGGCATGAAGAGACAAAAACTTGTCAAAAATTCCACCTACTCCCATGTAAACAATTTCCCGATCTTTCTTCAGAACAGAGAGAAGTACACTTTAGACAAACTGCTCCCATCTTCACATTTACCACACAAAACCCCAAAAAAAAGCATCCCTAATGCTCACGGTCTGTTAATTTTTTGATAGGAGCGATAGTTTTTGAACAGGTGGCAAAATTGTCAGATATGATCCAATGCATTCTTAATGACACTCAGTGCTGCAGCTGGTAACCATGGTGTTGCTGGGCAGATTGAAAGCTTTGATCTCTGGGCTCACACAGGTGTTATGATTATTTGTTATGATTAGGAGCTCAGCACAGAAACAAACACTGACAAACACACTGGCCTTTAACAGACTGTCTCAGCCTATTATTTTCTGTCTGATGGAGACTTCCTACTGACTTCAACATGTTCCACATATTTTAGACATTATTGGTGACATATGGTTTAAAAGGTACGGACACACCAACCCGATTATCGGCGTTGGTGGGCGTCAGGCCGACGATGAGCATCGACACGCCCTACTTGGATTGGTGTGTCCAGCACCGTCGGGTCTTTTCAGCCGACCCGACGCCTTTTCGGCCGAAAACCCGCCGATTCAACATGGCAGTCGGCCAAAGGCAGTCGGCTAAATAAATCACTCTGATTGGCTGTTCAGCTCGCGAATCAGTGCATGAGAAGCGAAACGGAAGTGAGGGACCCGAACAAACTATTAAGAAGGCAAATCTGAGATTTCATTTAACTCCAGCTCTCGACAGGTTCGGGAAAGCCCCGTGAGCTTCTCGCTGTAGAGTGAAAATGGAACGCACACGCTATTTGTTGTTTGTTTATATCACGCAGTCTGTTCTTCTTCTCTCGGTTATCAAGCAGTCTGTCTTCCGGTTGTTGCCTCTTTTGAATGACGAATACACACTACCGCCGCCTGCTGGTAAGAAGAGTTATTGCCACTCACGCATGCGCAGTTCGTACGTGCTTCTTGGCCGCCGGCTGAAGTCTTTGCGGTGTGTTCCAGTGTGACACATGGCCAAGACGCAGAGACGCGAGGCGACGCAACAGTCGGGGTCCGTCTGTGTCAGTTCTTTGTTGTCAGATTGGTGTGTCCGGGCCTTTAGTCGAAAAGTTTGCAGTCAAAAATATTCTGCTGCTTTCCCAAGCCTTTTTACTTTCTTTTCTCATCTTAATACACATTCATTCACTACTACTTACATCTGATATTTAACTCCTTCAGCCTATTTTCAGCTGCAGAACCCATTCAACTATTACATTATTCAGCTATTTCAGGACATCAAGGCTATACATGTTGTTGTTTATACCTTTTTGAAACCTTTTCTTTGAAATATTAAGCTTTTTCACTATTTTTCTTACTCTTCCAGTTTAACATTTCACTTTCAAGTTTTCAACAAAGTCATTGCAATGCATTTGAGCTGTAACAATTTGATTCAAATCATTTCACTTTTCTGCATTTCTCCGCTAAGTTTAGCAACACACTCACTTGGTTTTTTGTAGCTAAAAGCAGCTACCATTCAGCTAATAACACATTCGCTTTTTCAGCTAAATTCAGCCACAAATGTTCACAGTTTACAGCATTCGCATGCATTTCCTGCAGAAAATGCATTTTCTAGTTTGTCCTGCGGTACCTTTTGCCTGTCAGGTGTAGGTATGACAGTGCCATCATTCATTGAGATGTATGTGAGCCTGCTGAGACTGGGGCTGGAGCAGGTTGACTGAGGAGAGAGGTCAAGACCTGGATGTCTGCCTGCTAGACAACCACAGGACGAATCAGGGGACACCATACTAGGACAAGAAAACAAAGAACAAAGAAATACATGAATAATGACTGAAAATGCAAATGTCCTGTGTCTAACCGTAATAATATGAATCAACTAAGCAACAGACTATTTATGATTAATGATTAAGTCATTATTTTATCAATTTGAGATGTGGTTATACTGAAGCCATTTTAAGATAACTATTTAATGTAATCTACTATTATTAATGTCTTTGATTCACTGAAAACCATCTGTAGAACAGTACCCATCAGCTTTGGGAATGGAGGTCTGACTTGGAGAGGAGTGAGTAAGCGGAGAGGTGGACGGTCTGAAGTTATACTGCGTCTCCTCCACGCAAGGCTCAGCAAAACCCTTCAGCAGCTCTGGGAAACAAGTATAGTTACAGTACACATTTATGATGCCATCTCAATGTTCTCACAGGGTCAGGGACAATACTTTCTTATCATGTACTTTCATATTTTGTGATGCTTGCCGAATCAGTGAAATCACTTTTCAAAACATAGCATTTAGCAGTTTTATTTCCGTTTTATCATCGTTTATAACCTTGAATTGATCTGCATACATCCTATGTTGTTTTTAAATCCTGCTTTAACTATGTTATGCACTTTGTTTTGGAAAATTGCATTGTATTATTAGCATTAATATTATTAATAATATAGTGGCTACTGGTCTTCACAGTTGTTTGAATAAGGGTGCTTACAACTGTTGCATGTGTACGGTTTGAATTAGAAACTCCATTTTTCTGTATTTGTACTCACCAGGTGCAGGGTCTAGTGGATGCTGGTTGTTTTGGCCAGAGAAGCCGACATGCTTCTCCACAGAACTACCAGGTAGTGGAGCAGCCATGATATTCTTCGCTGGAAAATTGCTTTGTCCCTCCTGCTGCTGCTGCTGCTGCTGCTGCTGGCCTGCAGTCTTCACCCTCTGTGGCGGAGAAGAGGAACCTTTAGATGAACCTGGTAGGATTTGTTGCATTCCAGGTGTAGAAGAGGATCCTGTTTCACTATTTTGTGATGTTTCTAAGGAAGATCTAATATTGTTGGTGGCCTGTTGGTTCCATTCTCCTGGCTTGACATTTTCTGTAAGGTTCCTGCCAGAGGAAGTCCTTTTGTCTGCCAGAGTCGTGAGAGTTGAAGTCTGCCCTGAGCCCACAGATCTTCTGGCAGAGCTGAAAGATGTACGGGGACGAGGGATAGAGCTTCTTTTTGAGTGACCCTTATGACCGGGAGATAATGAATTTGACTCTGTAGACAAGCTAGTGTTTATTGAGGTCTCTCCTCCTCGGCCTTTCTCCCCAGTTTCTGTTATTGTTGGCTTCTGTTGAGTCTTACTGTCCACTTGCTGAGCTGAGCTCCCCTGTTCCTCAGGAAACCCCCCCTGAGGGTTCCTTTGAGAGCTGCTGAAGTTGTTAGCCCAGGCGGTCAGGTCAAAGGTGGTGTGAGCCACAGAGGCGTCAGGGCTGCATGACACTTCAGTCATTTTCAGGTATTTCTCCATGTCAAAGGCACTCAGCTCTCCAACACAGGTGCTTCTGTGCAGTATGTCCAGCAGGCTGCTCTGATCTGGCTCAGGGAGGATCTGTGTAGGTGGAACATTGGAAAAAAGGAGAGGGCACTCACAATGTTGACTTGTCCCTGTATCGTAAATACAGAGTATTATCTCAAATTGGACACTACAAAATATTCTTTGTAACGTTTAAGAGGGAAACAAAAGTAACATTTTGAGTTTTCCTCTAGTGAGATTTTTTAAATAAAGACTAGACAAATAATCAACATATTACGTAATATGTAATGAAGCTATTTATATAAAAACAAATTCAAATTCAAGAAAACAAACCAGATTGAGAGCAATTGTGCAGTACATAGTTGATCAAACCAAAATGCCTACTTTAAAATATAGAATATCAAGGCCTTACATGTTCCACTGAGTGGGGTTCCTCTGTAAAGTTGGCTGTAGGTCCAACATGGTCTGCTCTCTCAGGTCTATTCATCGCCCTACTTCTCTTGGAGAGCGCCATTATCATGGCAGCCAGCTGCGATGGGTCAGTGCTGATGGACGCATCAGCAATGGCTGAAGCAATTGTGCTGATACTCAGCATCATTTGGCTGTTGTTACTGTTAGGGGACGCACCGCTTTGGTTACCTAAGCTTGAATCAGAGCCAGAGCCCTCGTGGTGGTCAGGTGCAGCTCTTACAGTATGATCCTGAAGAGAAGAAGTGATTTTATGTCAGAAAGACATGCTGCCAGTGCCATGCATGTAGTCCTACATATTACATATCAACATATCAGAAAAGCCCCTGTACCTCCTGTTCATACGGTGCAATTTCATCTTTCAGTGACATCCTTTCACCTGGTGCCTCAAGAGTTTGGTCCAGGTCTTCTGCAAATGAGATGATCATGAATAATAATCAGAAAATGCAAACAAAAAGGTGAGGCTAGAAGGTGATTATTCAGCAATAACAATATTGTGAACACACCTGGGTTGAGTGTCTTGTCTGCTTCACTGGGTTCCATAGTGTCAGCTAGAGAGTTGCCTCCAGCTGAGAACTCTGAGGGATGAATTAGGGGAAATGGGTCCCTTTTCTCCGGAGAGGTAATGATGTAGCCAAAGGAAGGCTAGAGGACAAAAGACCAAGCTTTTACTACATGTTACAGTCGGAAGTGAACCCAACCTCAACCATTAGACTGTATTAACTTGACATAAAGTTAGCAGAAACACAAAAACTAATACAACATCTGCAGCTAGATCAAACAGCAGCTGCATATCAATGTTGATGCACATCTCATCTATAGGTTTATGTATGAACACCTTTTGTATAGTCTTGAAATCAATTCTCAAAGAGACTGATACTTATTTATTAGACTGAAATTATTTGTGTAACAACACAAGGAAAAAATAAAATGATACTGACCCGTTTAACAAAATCCAAATCATCAGCACTGCCAAGACAGCCAAGGGCTTCAGAGCGCTGTCCAAAAAACTGCCCCAAAGTCAGTCGCAGGTAGCTCTGGTCCCCCTGCTTATACTCTGTGGAGACCTGCGAAGCCCTCATCAGGATGTTACTGTTGGGGGGGATTTTCCAAGAGGAGTCGCTGTTAAAGGGGCTGTTGCTGCTGGCTGGCTCTATCTTCTCCTCCTGTGTGAACAGCAATACTCACAATAAACCACAAGACGTTGTGCTTGACTAAATACAGCGTGGCTGAGAGTGTGCCAGCCTCTTACAATTCATTTGATTGTGACAAACAATATTTGAAAAAAGGGAGCTGTTTATACCTGCATAAATTGGTGCTCTTTCTCAAATATCTCTTGATCCTTAGCTATCTTTTCCAAAGCATCACCTGCAAAGGATTATTTATTAGCAATAGGCATCGATTTATATAAGTACAGAAAAATGTTAACTAAGCTTTGGACTTTTTTGACATACTGGGAGGAAGAAATTCCTCAGTCTGTAAGTGGCCAGCATTCTCTGAAGTCTTCCCATCAACCTCTTTCTCAAAGGAGGAGTAATATGCCAGGTCAGTCACCCATTGTCCTTCATTGTTCTGGTAAACCACACTCTGTGTGGCATGTGCACCTGAAGAGGAGAGCCATGCTGTTAACACGTATATACATGTACACTTACACCAAGAAACAAGCCACAATATGTATTGAGATTGTAGAACAGAGCATTAACTTGGTAAAGATCTTAACATCACTGATAAACACAACCTTGTTTAAAGTCCTGCTCCAGGTTGTCTGGGCAATAATTCCACCCATCATCTGAGTCTTCTGTGTCCTGGTGGATGCTCTGGGAGAAATACTTGGGTTCCAGGGAGGTTGAAAGGGGAGTGTTGTCGTCCTCACTGGTACCGTCTGAGGCCTCTGCAACACTTACATTCCCACAAGGCCCTCCTCTTAAGCCCAACGAATGCCTGGCACCATCAGGCTCATCTACTCCATCATCATCATCATCATCGTCCCCATCATGGCGTTCAGGAAGCCGTACCTACAATGTTTTGGATGCTTGTGTCAGACCTATTATTTAAAAGTCTCTTGAAAAGCTAGAATGATAACATTTCTTCTTAAGTAGTTTACATTGGAAATGTCACACAATCAATCTGGATGAGGTCTATAACTTCCCTCTTCAAGGCTGCCTTCTCCATGCACTGTACCTGTAGGGGGAGTCGTGCCAAAGCCCAAAAGCAACAAAGATGACCACATTGCAATGGTAGTGTCCTTGTTTCAATGTGTGCTCATACATAACGCTGACATCCAGTCAAAGTGCCCACGGATAATAGGTACATGGGTCTTTATAAAACCCTGACTTTCGCCCGTTCCCCTGTTATGTATTGTACCTGAGAGAGGTGGAAGCTCCCCTGGGTGCCTTGAAGGTAGGACAATGTGAGGCTGGCCGATTCCTGAGGTCTCTGGAGTCCAGCTCCACTCCTCAGGTAGGCGGAGTCCAACAGTCTGTCAACAGCAGGCCTAGCCTGTGAGCTCTCCATGGCATCCTGGTGTTGAAAGAGAATCACATCGACAACCAGAGCCTGCTGTGACATGCATTCATACTTCAGCCTTTGCTGCTTTGAGTTGATCACTGTATTCTGCTGTGCAGTGCCTCACACCTCCATGCAACGTTACGTTCTCTAAATGAGGCTAACGCTCCTCAGTAACAAACAGACAACACATCAACTATGACTTAGGAGCTGTTTTACAATGTATAGACGACTCCATATCTAACTTTCGGAAGAGAAACACTAGATAACTCTTGTCTGGAATGTGCATGGTCTACAGTTTGCTACTTATTTTCCTTAAAATAGAAGCAACGTTTAAAAAAACCAATATCATACAGAGATGAAAAATAGAGTGGAGAAAATAAGTATTTGATCCCTTGCAGACTTTGTAAATGTGCCCTCTTACAAAGAAATGAACAGTCTATACTTTGAATGGTAGGTTTATTTGAACAATGAGAGTAAGAATATCAAAAAGAACATCCAGAAATTGACATTATATGAAAGATCAAAATAGATTTGCATTTAACTTTGGGAAATAAGTATTTGATCCATTGCAGAACATGTGTTAGTACTTGGTGGAGAAACCCTTGTTGGACACACAGAGGTCAGACGCTTCTTGTAGTTGGTCTCCAGGTCTGTGCACATCTCAGGAAGGATGTTGGTCCACTCCTCTCTGACGATGCTCTCCAAATCCTGAAGGTTTTGAGGCTGATGCCTGGCATTTGGAAGCTTCAGCTCCCTCCACAGATGTTCTATGGGATTAAGGTCTGGAGACTGGCTAGGCCCCTCCCTCACCTGAATGTGCTTCTTCTTTAGCAGCTCCTGTGTTGCCTTGGCCGTATGTTCAGGGTCATTGTCCTGCTGGAAGACCCCTCCATGACCCATGTTCAGAGTCTGAGGGAAGGAGGCTATCGGACAAGATGTTACGGTGCATGGCCCCGTCCATCCTCTCCTCGATGCAGGGAAGTGGTCCTGTCCCCTTAGCAGAGAAACACCCCAAAGCAGAATGTTTCCACCTCCATGCTGACGGTGGGGATGGTGTTCTGGGGTTATAGTCAGCATTTCTCTTCCTCCAAACACGGCGTGTCGAGCTGATGCCAAAGATCTCGATGTTGGTCTCATCCGACCACACCACCTTCTCCCAAGCCTTCTCTGAATCATCCAGATGTTCATTGTCAAACTTCAGACGGCCTTTCATGTTCTTCTTGAGCAGGGTGCTGCAGGATTTGATCCATTATAGTGTAGTGTGTTACCAATAGTTTTCTTGGTGAATGAGGTCCCAGCTGCCTTGAGATCATTAACATGTTCCTCCCGTGTAGTTCTTGGCTGATCACCTTTCTCCTGATCATCATACCCCACAGGGCCAGATCTTGTGTGGAGCCCCAGACCGAGGGCGATTGATTGTTGATTGATGCCCATTTGACTTTTCTTCCATTTTCAAATGATGGCACCAACAGTGGTCTCCTTCTCACCAAGCTGCTTGCTGATGGTCTTGTAGCCAATCCCAGCCTGGTGCAGGTCTACAGTCTCGTGCCTGAGGTCCTTAGACAGCTCTTTAGTCTTGTCCATGGTGGAGAGGCTGGAATCTGACTGATTGATTCTGTGGACAGGTGTCTTTTATACAGGCAACAAGTTGATATTATGAGTACATTTTTGAAAGGAAATGGACTCATGTAACTGGTCTGAGGGAGCCAGAATTCTTGTTGGTTGCAAGGGGATCAAATACTGGTTCCCCACAGTTAAATGCAAATCAATTTATATCTTTTATATAATGTCAATTTCTGGATTTTCTTTTTGATATTCTTACTCTCATTGTTAAAATAAACACATTACAATTATAGATTGTCATTTCTTTGTAAGTGGGTAAATCGGCAAGGGATCAAACACTTATTTCCTCCACTGTATCTGCACAAAACATCCCACATAAAATGAAAACAAGTCAGGCTATAATAGTAGCATTAGAGTTGTGGTGCATATGCACTCACCAGTGCCTCCTGTCTGTCTAGGACCATGCTCCAGTTGACAGAAGAAAGCCTCTGAGTTCCCCTCGATGCACCGGAAGAAGAGCTGGCCTCTCCTATTCCTACAGGACCCACACGGTCCCCCATCTGCAAAACATTCAGTCAATTAAGAAGCAGACCTGCAAAACTATTAGTGTATCATTTATAAACTATAGAGTATTAAATACATATAATCCACAGTATGAGGGCAAACAGGAAGTGTGTGTGGTCTACACAAATGATGTCTTCAATATGCAAGATGTTGTGAATAAAAACTGCATCAATAAACTTTGTCAAGAAATGCAGCCAATAGTATTTGTGACTCCTGTGTTTGTGTTTGTTCCAGACGTGAGTCTCATTCTTACCTCGGTATGTCTGAAAAGACTATTCCTATTATGTCCTTGCAGATTCAGCTTGCCATCATTTTCCTCACCAATAGCACTACTCCCCACAACCCCCAGCCCACGCAGGGCATCATAGGTGGTCTGGACCACAGTCGCCGGGAGAGGGATGGTCGCAACCCCACCGTCATTTCCGCTTTCTTCACTCCCACTGCTTCCATCCCCACCTCCTCCATCCCCTTCAATTACATGAGGACACGAAACCAAAGAGTTGACACCTTAAGGAGAGCAGTATCGGTCTTAATTTAGTGTCCCTCAAAACTACAAAAAAATCAGTTCCCTGTTAAATGATTTCATGCTTTAGTACCCTTTCACTTGGAAATAACAAGAAAGCAAGAAAACGAGCCAGGGAACACAAAAGAAAGAAAAACAAGGCAGCGACAATCATTTAAGCTGCATATTGTACCCGTGACTGGAGGGTTGATGACCTGTCCCTCAGCCGATCGTCTCTGTTCAATCCCAGACAGAGATGGACCGCCGCGGCCACTGGAAGCCTCATCATCAGAACTGCCTCCCTCCAAGCCTGGCCTGAAACTGGGACGATTGCTCTCTCCAACCTGTGTCCACATGTAGACATTAACACACACAAAACAACAATTGTCCAAAGAAAACTTGTTTTACAAGACCTATGAATAATGGAGCTACTCAATACTTGAGAGTTTAAAAACAATAACAATATTGTTTTCTATTTCTGACCAGTTGTCTTGAAGTGCTGGGCAGCAGCCGTGTCCGGGTAGCATTGCTGTTCCTTCTGGCAGACTCCAGCTCATCCTCAGTGTCCTCATCACTGGCTGGACAGGAGTCCATACCTGTAGCAGCAAGACGCACATCAGGCATCTGAAAGTCTTCCTGAGGAAAACATAGGTACACAAGATACAGAAAGAAATTAGAAAAAATGCAAAGTGAAATATATATTTGACAGAGACATGATTTAAGAGTTCTTTCATTTGAGTCAGATTTACAGAAGTCATGTCAGAATGTCAATAAGTGAACTTTAGAATTAGTAAAGCAATCGGGTTTCTTGCTCCAAATGTCCAGTTAATAATTATAAAACGTAACAGTACTCTCAGGAAGATGATATTCCACACAGTGTGTAAATGTGCTCACCTGATTGTAGTCATCGAGAAACTGGTGTCTATACTGTTCTGGTTCTGTAGAACTTGGGTTTGAATTGTTGTCAGTAGCACCTGGCCGCCCCTATGATCATTGAAGTCAGAAATGAAAATGAATAGGGACAGTGAGTAATATGGATTAAGGGAATGACTATTTTCTAAAGGTACACTTATGATGGCCAGTGTAAGTGAACAAGTCCTAAGAGCGTAAAGTGTTTGAAATGGAGAAGAGAATTACAGTCACAGGAATCTCCTGGCCCTCCACTCGGCCTCGCTGCATGACAGGAGGCACCAGCTTATTGAAATACAGCTCCAGCTCATCATCAGGCAGGTTTTCGGAATCTATGTCATCATCTAGAGAACAATTACATGTCCACAACATGACTCAAGTTTTTACAGAATGTAAATCCAGAATCCATGTTTTTTCCTACATTTCAAATATAAAGAACGTATGAACCTGTGATATCGCTACTGATGCTGTCCACGGACATGAGCTTCTCATTTGCCAGGAAGCTGGAGTTACTGCCACTGAAATGGTCACTGTCCACTCCCTCACGCTGCACATTGTCCTCGTCAGCTGTAGCAGGTAGAGGCTGAGCCTAAATGAATTGCACAGGAAAAGAAAAAGTATTTGCAAACGTTTTGTGTTTGAGATAAAAAAAAAAGACCATTTTGAAATAAAATCATCCAAAACACAAACCTTTATTCAAACAAAGGATTTAACTAGTTATTCCTTAAAGGTATACTGGGTTGTTTAAAAAAAAAAAATTGTTTTAGAAGAAATAGTGTATATTTAAAAAGGTAAAATATGCTTATATATAAAGACAAGCTAAATTGCATGGCTTTTTCTTTTATAATATACAGGACAAACGGTCCATACTTAGTTTGAGCAGTGAATTATATGTATTTGTACCCATTGACAAGATGGGTACAAATCGGCAAAACAAGACTGTAAAAATAACAGCAAAACAATTATCCCTGATAAAAAGTACAACTGCTATCTGTTCAAGGACAAACCAGAGTTGGTACCTTTGCATCTGTGTTTTCTTTTTGCCCAAAATGGGCAAACGTCAGGAGCCCCGTTGAAAGATCTGTCGAACAATCAGTAAAAGCTAAATGCATTAGTATCTTCAAGAAAAAGTGTCATCACCTAATAATGAGAATATGTTCTTCTCTTTCTATCAGAAAGCACAAATATACCACGTCTGGTGAACTGTAAGTCCCTGAAGTACTAGGTGAAGCCAATTTGACATCATTACCGATGATCAGGATGGGAGTATTGCCACAGTGTTATACCTAGACATGAGGCGAGACAGGTGCACTACCACGTACCTGTTCCAAGCTCTGTGGGCCGGCTGTGGACTGAGCCCATCTGTGGAGAACACAGCCTCAGCATGGAGGCTTGGTTTTGAGATGCACTCTCATCCAAATGAATCTTTACGAGCATGTCTGAGAGACGGTGTGCTGCAATGAAGTCATCCGCATTGTCCCTGTAATACAGTCAGTGATGTATATCATTATGACCACATCAAAGCTTCATGTGAAAAGGAAGAATAGAAATTACTATAGTTAAACATATATTAGAATGTTCAGTAATACATTTAACATTTGAGCATTAAAATTAGGTAGCTTTTAGTAAGACTGGCTGTAATTGAGGTCCTCTTTGCGAAATGTAAATAACTGTCAAACAAACACACAAGAAAATACAATGCAAACATACTGCAAGTTTTAGACAAAAAATCTGTTTATAATATGAGCTTTTTTAGTCACAGACAACATTGCGAAACCAAATCAGCTGCGTAAATACTCACAAGTCATCCTTGAAGCTTAGGGCGAACATGGGTTGTTCCCGAAGAAAGCACTGGGACTTGGCCTGCTGCTCTTGGCCCTCCAGATATGACGCCTCAACAGGGTCAGCTCTGTAAAGCAAGACCACTTAGCATTGATCCAACAACATTTGTAACAGACTAAACTGCTCTAAATCATGGTTACTTTAGAATAGTGCACAAAGCAACTGAACACTGACTCACTATGAACATCCCCAGTGCCGTTCCTGTTCACTTTGTGGGACATTTCAAAAGAAAATAGGGCTGTAACAACTTTTTATTAACAGACAAGTAAACATATTCAGTTCTATATTTGGCAGGCGTGTAAATATGTATCTTTTTTGCATATCAGTATTTCCTATTTCCAGTAGCCTTTAACGGCTTGAATGAGTAGAAACATAAACTCTGAAATGAGTTCAGCATACATTAGCCTGTGCGATGATTCAGAGAAACATGCATGAGATCATTTCCATATCAAGTCACATCTGTCCAAAGCAGCAGCATGCTCCCACCTGTTGTCAGGTCCTGGTTTAATTTTAGCCACAGTCGAAGCAGCCACTGGAAGCCCTGGGCCTGAACCCAATGTCACATTCCCCAGTGTGGCACGGCCACTGGTGCTGTCCAGAGACTTGCAGAGGAAACTCGGGAAGGCTTCATCTTCCAACTTGTAAAAGCGGTCTGCCATCTTTTTTGAATGGAGCAGGGAAACAGACAAATGTGGCTTGACTTCAGTTCATTTGAAGTCCATCTAATGACTAGATACATTAAAAAAAGAGACATTTCGGGGGGGTTAGTAGCCTAGGTCTTAGTAAACTGTTTGAAACTTTACATTGCAGATACTTTATCTAGCAGCAGCTGTGTGTGCAACGTTACATGTTTATCGACACCACCTTGTGAAAACTAGCGGGGAAAGGTTATTTTTTTGTAATACTTGTTTTGAATATATGCATACATGTTGTAGCCTGGCTTTACAGTTTGAACTTGTCGTCTACAAAAAAATTGAGAGCAATTCATTAGATAATGATGCTAGGTTAGCTTACTCTCTACGCTAGCTAGTTTACGGGACTTGCTAAAAACAAGTGGGTTCGTCAAAACTAACGTCACTCCACTATGTTCGTTTATTCAGTTACAGAGAGAAGTGTTCGAGAACAAAAGTTACAGGCAACATAGATAGGTTGAGCAGTTAAACCTGCTAGCTATTCTTACCAAAATCCTTAAAGACTGTCAAGTTTAGAGAGAATAAGCGTTACATCAGGACGCAAACGTTATCGTTAGTTGTACTTCAACTTACATTCAATACTCCAGAAGGGCCGAAAGACCACGGTTCTTATTCCAACTCGAATGTTCCCTTATAAACTATTGAACACACGTTGCGAAATGCAGTTCAGTTCCAAAAGTGACTTCCCAAATACTTAAATTGTTCATTATTAGTTAGAGCAGGCACAACAAACACCGTGCAACAGTTCAAAGCAAGCAGCGCCCAGAATCGGCATGAAGCCCGCGTGAGCGTCGTTATGTGGGCAGGACTTAACCAAATGCAACCACTGTGATTGGTCAAAATAAACTGAGAGGGAGGAAATTGTCTATCATGATAGGATGGGATTCATGTTGTTCTTAGTTGGAAAAGTAACTAATTTCGTCAGTCGTCTTACATGATGGATGAAAGAAAGAGTGGATATGATTGTTTTACACCATACTGTAATGGTAGTATACATTAGTATTACAGTAACTTGCGGTGGAGTTTGTTATATCAAGTGTTCTGCTTAGCAGCTGCAAGCACGCCAACTTAGCAGACAGCTGCATCCCATGCATTCCAGGTTTTGAGTGACAATATTAAATTGTAGCCTCCTTGTAAAAACAAATGACAGTTTATTTCCCTAATTTCAGAGTAAAGATCAAAAGTCTGTTTCTGCCATCAGAAATGAAGTCCACAAACACATTGAATTAATAAGGATCAGTTACAGTCATGCATTTATTAATGAAGTGTATTGTTTGAGTGTAATGGGAAAATTGTTTTAAAAAAATCCCATCTTGGGCTATTTATTATTACTTCCAAAAAGGGGTACATGTGCCGTTGAAAACCTCGATGAGCGCTGTGATAAAAAGTCCTCTGCAGGAATTGATTAGGTTGTCATTATCCTGGAGAAAATAGAGTGCCACAGTGACGCGTCCTAAAACCCGGAAGTAAGCTGCGCATGGGTTCCTTCGACAAAAAAAGCAATTTCTCCATAGGATTTTGGAAAATAGCTCGAAATAAGGTCTGTGGTTGACACACATTTAAGAGACGGATCACGTTTTGTTTAGTCGGATAATCTCCATGTCTACCCTACTTTTATAATTTTCGAATCATAAATCTAATCGATAGATTTATGGTTTTTGTCGAAGGAACCCATGCGCAGCTTACTTCCGGGTTTTAGGTCGCGTCACTGCAAATCAAAACATGTGCTTTGTACTGGACATTCTTTAAAGCACTAGCTTACAAAACCAAATATGTGAGATGATCAGATTTTATTCAGGTTTACAAAAAATGGCTCTACTAGCCATACAACTAAACATTTCACAGAAACTTCATGACACCTTTTTCTATATTATGCACAGGAAAAATAACAAAACATAAAATAGTGACATACATTTAAGTCTTTATTAGAAATGAATGGCACTTGGGTGGTTTGTGCCCATCCCCCAATCAATCCTGTTTAATTCTAGTTATAACACCGCTACATCACTGTCCTTCAGCCTCTGGTAAAGGCAGCAGTGGTCTGGAGGATATTCTGTGGGGAAGAGCCTGTTGCTGAGGCTGAATGGGCTCAGCATCACAGTGCTCAATGAGGGAGGAGGGAGGCAGCAAGTGCCCATACCTGGTCCCCGCTCTGGGAGGGTCCAGAGGCGGAAGGAAATACCTGAAGCAACACAACATGGATCGAGACGAAGACGACAAACATGTGGACAGGGAGAAGACGATGACAATGGAATACAGAGAGAAAACAATTCAAAGGAGATATGAGATTTTTTTTATTAGGAGGAGGAAAAAAAAGTGAATGGCAGACAATAGTGATGGGTGCTGTCATTTTAAGGGTGTCAGCAAAACTGTCAGCAAACATATTGGATCAAAGAAAAAGGAACACTGTGGAGAACAGAAACATGCAGTTTTCAACACAAACAGGGCTTTTAAAGGAATGGTATGCTCATGACACTCATTTTTAAATAATTATCATCCGATAAAACAGACCAGTCTCTGCCAGTCTTTTTTTTGTTGTTTTAATCCGATGACATTATCAGTGATTTTAAACTGATTAATTACCGAAATAACATCAACACTGTGGGCGGCGCCATTTTACCGGACGTGACGTAAACCATGCGTTTGGTTTCGAGGACACGTTGATGTTCATGTTATTTACTGTAGTTACTCTCTTCAAATATGCCTCATTGTATCGCGAAACATTGACACAATTCTGATAGGAACAATCCACGGAATGCTCGGTTCCATCTGTTGCCAAAAGGTAAGCGTATGAAGTACGTTCGGAGGCAGTGGCTAGCGAAATGTGGCCGGACCGAACCGAAAGATCCACAGGCGCATGTATGCAGCGAACATTTCATGTTTCCGGACGACTACTCTGAGAGTATGATAAAACATAACATGGGATTTATTGAACAACCATTACTTCATGGAGATGCAGTACCATCGGTCTTTCTGGTGTCATCACCGACCAGGACACCAGTTCGGCCAGTTGAGAAATCGCCCTCTGCAAGTGTGAAGCGACGGAGGACCAGAAGTAGTGCTCGGAGTAAGAATAAGGTATGTTATAGCGCATTTCCATTGCAGCGGGTAGCCCCGTTTAAACGTCCTTTATCGTCCAGGCCAGGCCAGTTTTTGGTGGCCTTTCCATATAGCGTAGTACCGGCTAGTGGGTATTTTCCCCCAGATTTTCCGGCCCCATAAAATCGTGGTTCTAGGGCCAGGGACAACGAGGCTGAGTATGCTAAACTAGAGAGGGAATCGCTAGCAAGGGTGGTACTACATGCATACATATCTAGTAATCAAAATCATTGTATCTACCAAGTAGTACTAAGTAGGCTCGAACCTGTATGGCTGAATTCCCCCTTCCAATCTCTTCATATTGCTCAAAACTTCTTCCTCGGCTGACGAGTCCGAACTCAAATACTCCATGTTTACAAAGTGAACGCATGGATGACGTCACGACCATCACGTGACTACTGAAAATGGGCAAAATGGCAGCGGCCTGACGGAATATACAGGTTTTGATAAAAAAGAGCTATAAAATCATTATTTACCGGGGAATATCGCTGATTTCTTCAGGGTATGGTTTAAACATAATGTTTCACTAAATACTGAAGTTTTGATTAATGATCTAATGAGTGGAGCATTCCTTTAACAGCACAACCTCAGATGGGACACTACTCACACATTTCAAATGCATTAACACAAGCTCAAATGGTTGCTGGCTCAGAGGAGACATTAATAATATGCAGGATGCTGCTGGGATATCTTTGGAGAGGTCAGCTGCCGCAGGGGAGGGGCAAAGGGAGCTCTCTTGCCAATCCTGCATGCAACAAGCATTACAATACCATATTACTTAAACCACCCAAACTCATTATTTGTCAACAAGGAATAGGGATGCAAGAAAAAGCTTTTCTGCAAAGTTATTTTCCAGTATGACATTTTAGTACAATCACTTTGGTTGCAAAAGTATTAGAGCACAGCATTTCATACAGGAAACACATCTTGTTACTCAGGTTAGAGGTTATTCAAAGGTCAAGTCAAAGACGACAACAAATGCTATGACGGATGTTTTGTTGAGTTAGAGGTTATTTAGTTGAACATAAATACAGCCACATACAAACTCTCATAAAAACAGTGGTAACTTTGAACCTGTTTTATACGCTATCAAATAGTAACAGTTGCTTATTTATAATCCAAATGTTAAAGCAAGCCTGTGTTACATTTGCTGAACAGCGACCACTGTGGCTTTAGTGAAAGTCTTTGTTTTAAACTTTGTAATTGTAGAAGATGTAGTCAGAGTCAGCAGGAAGTAAGCAACAGAAAGGTTTTGATCAGACCCAACAATGTATGGCTTGAGAGCAATACCCGAGTACACTGTTCGCAATTAAGAAAGAGAGTTTTATTGCTCATCAATTCAACACTTCATTTATAAAAGAAAGATGTTATCTCTTCTTTTAAAAGTGACGTAGTCTCTTCTTAAAGCCATGTATGTCAGCAGCTCTATCCATATCCATACTGCATGTGTTGTTCTATTTCTGTTGTCATTTTAGTGGGTTAATGACTTTTATTCAAGCTGTTCTTCTGCTCAGCAAAGAGTTTGGCAATACTTGCTCGAGGATACATTCAAATGTAAAAAATGTTTTGAAATTCAAGTGAAATGAAGAGACAGATTACTGAGCTTTGATTTAATTGCTCATCTCAAAATGGAAGTAGTCACAACAATGTTGGATGTCAGGATGTAGTAAACTGAAACTAATCAAATTTCTCGATATTTAAAAAAAGATCTTCCCCATCAAAATAATAAAATAATCATTTGAAAAAGTCAAATTTATATAAAACAGGTTTATTTTACATTTTGCACCAATGATATGGTTAGCAGGGACAAAACAACGTGGAAACTACTCTTGCATGCATCTGTACAAATCAAGAGCAAATTGCCTAATAAAGAAAACAACACACCCAACAGGCTTGATGCAGATGCTTTGCCTTGAAGCCAAGCTCTTTGCATGAGTGCAGCATTTGGTCAGTAAGGGCCTGGGGAGTTTGTCAGGGAGCAGCTGTAGTCCCGGTCAGTGTGAGGCGGAATAAGGGGTCAGTTCTGTCTGGTGCGGGTCAGGCTGGGTGAGTGGCGGCCACACCACCTACCTTCCTGCAGACATCCCGTTTTGGGTGTTCTGGGATGTCTGAACGGAGGAGCCCACGACAGTGCTCATAGCTGTGGGCTGACCCGATGAGCCGGTGAGGGGGCTGCCGTCTCCCTTCAGGATGCCCGTGCACTTCCAGTTGTCCATGTAGTTAGCTGCAGGAATCAAATCAGTAAAACTAATTGTAACTTAAAATGACTCAAAGTTAATAATGTCCTTTACACATGCTTTATTTTACCATATTTGTCCTTATTTTTTTTAAGTTATTATAGTGTTCTTAAAATGGTTCTCTATCTGTGTTTTTTTAATTACTTTTATGTATGCACCACGATACCAAGTCAAATTCCTCGTACGTGTCAACCTACCTGCTAATAAACCTGTTTCTGATTCTGATTACACATAGGGAAGTGGGGAAGTGGAAAAGCTGATGGAAGAATTTGAAAACAGCTTGACTTTTATCATTTTTTGTATTTTTCTACTTTATGTGTATTCTGCATTACAATGGACAGTTGAAACGTCACACAGATGTGACGGATCTATGGCATAATCACACTAATGCATCTCATGGACTTTTGTTTTGAAATATAAGAGAAATGTATGTATCATAACAACTCAAAAGATATGAGCAAGACTGCCATTTGTGTGCAGGGGTCAATGACAAGCTAATTTAATTAGTACAAAAAACATCATAGTTTGTAATAGCAAGCATTAAAATAATATATGACATGTTTGAACGTAAAAATAAAAGAACTACATGACTAGACTGAGACTTTGCTGCTGCACATCATTACATAGATGAGTTAAGTGCATGTAACAGTAACACCACTTAGTTAGACACAAATTAGAGCTTCTAGAATTGGTGAAACCCAATCTTAACACTGAGAGTATTTCAGGTCTGTTTGTGACATTGGACTGTCCGATTGATCATTCCTCAATTGAATGACGTCAGCAATGCATTAGCGAAAGTTGCGTAATACCTGCTGAGAGTCACTGTTCACTCAAACTAGCATTTTTCCAAAAGAAGTTCTGGTAGCTATCACTAAAATGAAAAGAAGACCCATGAGCAATCATCAACACAAGCAAAAAATAGCCTGTTACCTTTCCAGAGGCGCACACAGCCATCGTCCCCGGAGGAGGCCAGCAGGGTGCTGGTGATGTTCCAGCTCACACGCCACACCTGAGAGTTATGGTTATCAAATTGAGCCACAATCTGCACTTCCAACTTGGTGGGTCCTGTAGAGGTGCTCTCCTTCCTGTCAGATGGATCCAAGTTTCAAACAATTATTTAAAGTGGAAGGATTCAATTCCCATTATTACGGTGGCCCTGAAGTGCAAGTCCAAACAGCATTTCAGAAAACACTACAGCATTTCAACTTATACGGAAAGGGTATTCCTTTAGGGACAACACTTCTTGTTTGTGATTGGACAGAGCCAGCCAGAGAAGCACTGCTGTGATTGGTTGTTTTTGCTGCCAGTCAAGAAATGACGCTTCGTGATTGGTCAGCGCAACATGTCCCGAAACATCAGCCGTTAGCTGTTAGCACTCAAGCTCACAGCTCCTCAAATCTGTTCAGAAACTGGACAAAAGTTAAACATGTACAAACCACAGACTGTCTGTGTCATGGAGAATACAGTCGCTGCTTTATTTATGTCTGTATGACGTTGTTGTGAGTGTGGATGGAGCAGCAACAGGTTAGTTTAGCCTGATGGATCCGATTCCATTCAGAAAACACGCATTTTAAAAGGTTTTCGCCTGCCGTCTGTCTGCAGACTTAACCGGTCAGTATGTAGTTACTTCGGCATCATTTTCAAACGTGTATTACAATTAAATCACGGTAAAATATGTTAATTTTGTTGTAGTTGGTATCTACCAAAGTATTTGCATGGATATAAGCCCCGCCCCCTCTCCAGTGCGTCTTGTTTGAATGACAGGAGTGAACACAGCTGACAGCCGCGGTGAAACCTGAAACTCGAGCGATTAGAGCAATGCGAATATTCGGGGCTTATATCCATGTAAATACTATGGTCAACTACACATTTTTTTACATATTTTACCGTGATTTAATTGTAATAAACGTTTCAAAATGATGCCGAAGTAACAACACACTGATATCAGTTAGTAAAAACCATGAATTAATGCTTTGACAAGTCTGCAGACAGACGGCAGGCGAAAAACCTTTTAAAATGCGTGTGTGGAGATCGGATCGATCAGGCTAAGTTAACGTTGTATATGCTCCGTCCACACTCACAACGTCATACTGACATAAACAAACCAGCGACTGTATTCGCCATGACACAGACAGTCTGTGGTTTGTACATGTTTAACTTGTGTCTAGTTTCTGAACAGATATGAGGAGCTGTGAGCTCTGAGTGCTAACAGCTAACGGCTGATGTTTCGGGACATATTGCGCTGTCGGGTGTTGACCAATCACGAAGCGTCATTTCTTGACTGGCAGCAAAAACAACCAATCACAGCAGTGCTTCTCTGGCTGGCTTTGTCCAATCACAAACAAGAAGTGTTCTCCCTAAAGGAATACCCTTTCCGTCTAAGTTGAAATGCTGTGGTGTTTCCTGAAATGCTGTTTGGACTTGCACTTCAGGGCCACCGTACATTATGTTTAAAAACAGTTATAATGGATACTGTCCTGCAGTGAAATGCAGGATTTCATCGACTACACTAATGTGTTTTTTGTGAGTCCTTCACATGAACACTGTGACTGAACAGAGAAAATCATGGAATCAGTCACCTCATAGGAACAAGTTTAAAGATCCTGACATCTTTTGTTGCAATAGCGAGCACGTGGAAAGACCTCCCCAGGTTTGGGGCAAACGCAATGTCATGGACTGCATCTGCGACGCTCATCAGGGTCTCTGCTTTAGCATATTTCCTGTAAACAATGGTAAAACAACTTTTTTAACAATCATTAAAAAACTATTTCAACTAATTGGGATGTTTGATTTTTGAAAAAGAGTGACAAAGATTGGTAAATTCAGTGAAACCCACCTTGTGTTTTCATTATACTCATAGATCTGAACTTTGCCACCATAATTCACATTACTGTCATCACTACCCACTGCAAACATTGGTGGGTGGGCCCGAGAGCTGTGTGGAAGGGTGAGAAAGCACACATTATACACTGACAGATCCTCAAACTCCACTGTCATATCCAACAGGTAGCATCGATACCATACCATCGATAGCATGATATGAGAGTAGATATTGCCTTACATTTTGAATCGTAATATGTCACTATTATTGACTTTTCTTAGATTTAATTCTGCATTACATGAAAGTGGTTTAATGTTATAAATAGGGCCGGGACTCGATTAAAAAAATTAATCTAATTAATTAGAGGCTTTGTAATTAATTAATCGAAATTAATCGCATTTTTAATCACATAAATATTTGACCTAAGAACAGTGAGAAGCAATGTTTTTCACATGGATTTTAGTATACCATTAGGCGCATTCACACCGCAGTACTTTTCCCACAAAGGTTCATGAGAACTTAGTTCATGAGAACTCTTTGAACCTGGGGGAGGATTAGGCAAATGAAGCCGCTGACGTCACTTCTTCTGCTTTGGGTTTACTGGCAGGCCGCAAACCACTTCACGGCGTATACTGCCGCCCAAAGTCCCCGGCCGGAAGTCCCCGGAGTTGGGGACTGGCTTCAGTAGAAGCTGCTGGGAGTCCCAGCAGCTTCTACTGAAGCCTTCCGAGTAAATCGCCAGAACGCCGACACCTCCTCATCTCCACCGCTCCCATGTTTTATTTTGTGTTGCCATAAGTTAGTCTCTCTGCGTTTCTGCGCTGGGCTAATGCTAATAATGCTAATGCGAGGATAATAAAATGGCGGCTTCACAAAACTGTTTGGGAGTTTTACGGGGCGTGGTTTGCAATCCGCCCAGCCAATCAGAAATATAGCTCTTTTCTCACAAGAGAGCCGTACGAAAGTCCCTGCTCTCTAGCAGCTCTCTGCTCTCTAGCAGGGACTTTCGTGGGGGTAAAAAGGTTCTCATGAACTAATTTTAGTACCGGCTCTTTTTGGTGTGAACGCGATAAAAGAGGCTAACGTCCACGCTAGCTTCCACGCTAGCTGCTATATGTTTTGCATTGAGGTGATACTTGAGGCTTGATGTGCTGCGGTGATATGCGAATTCCTTTTTGCATAATTTGCACACAACCGTGCTCTTATCGACGCTTCCATCCGTCCGTTTTTTAAAACAACATTTCCCACTGTTGTTCACTGTGGTTTGTTGTTGTCTGAAGTCACGAACGTTAGTTGGTGCTCCAGTATAATCGGTACGCCTGAAACTCATCCAGTGAGAAACGTTCCGCGGTGCTAAAAATAAGTGCGATTAAAATGCGTGAATTTTTTGTTTAATTAATTAATCTTAATTAACGCGTTAAAGTCCCGGCCCTAGTTATAAATTATAATATTTGTCTTTACCCACTACGTCAGTGGTTCCCAAAGTACTGGGCCCCTGCAGCGCTATTGCAGGGGGGCGCAGCAAGGCAAATGATTGAGGCATGCTTAAGCTCACAGCTGCTGAAAAGACCTGCAGCACAAAGCAAGCCCACACCAGTCACTGAACAGATGTGGTGATTAAAGGTGTATTTTTTGCAAAGGAAATGTTCAGTTCCCTTTTTTTCTCTCAGGGAGCTGGTTTAGTGAGCCCCACGGACCGCAGGCCTCCGTCTCTGCTCCGTATCAGCTGAGCGCCCGTCATCTTTATCGTAATGAAACCTACGTTTTAGATGCTATGGTGTTTGACCACACGCTGTCCTCACATCCCAGACTGTGAGACAGACAGGCGGAGGGAACTTACTACATATTGTTTGTGAAGCAGATATAGGAAGTTACTTTTTTTATGAAATTATGATTGATTTACTTTTGCAAACAGTCAAGCAGCTGGGCAGCTGTCAGATATGTATTGCAGGATTGTTGGACACAGACAGTGTGTGGTGGGACTCTGTCTCACAGGCAGGTTGCAGTGTAACTTCAGAGGAGACTGGGGAATTGTACATTCTCAAACTGCACCACTTAGAACTAACTTGTGAATGCAAAAACAATGCAGAGTTGATTAGTAAATCATTGTATTCAATAACAGCGACGGAATTAAACAGTATGAAGTGATTTGTAAATATGAATAGTCATTTGACTAAATGTTTTCAGAAATACTTTTGTTTTCTGTGAAAGTGGCATGTGACTTATTTGTACCCTCTCAAAGAATCGAAATCCAGAACCGAAAAGAACCAGAAATGAAAAGCAGAACCCGAATCGTTCAAATCCAAACGACACCCAACCCTAAGTATTACAGTTAGACTAATTCCACTGTGAAGCTGATTCGTCAAATAAGACCTTGCAGTTTTATAAATTCCAATTTTTTAAATCAATTTAAAATCGAAGATATTCTCATCTACAAAGAAACAGTTTGGGAACCACTGCACTACGTCATTATATCCACAGAAGGGATTATTTATCAAACATCTCATTGTACAAAGATAGGTTATACATATAAAAGCAACAATTGTCAACAATTCAGTTTCGTCATAATATAGATATCAAGGTATTAAGTCAAAAAGTGGTGTCTTTTTTTCTCCATATTTCCAAGCCCTAAGACTGCATTAGGTGCAGCTAAGAGTACCTCATAAAATAGAAATTGAGTGTATGTCAAGTACTCCGGTCTACTAAACATTAAATGTATATTATTTGTGTATGATATAAAACACATGATGTGTAAAATGTCATAGGGACTGTGCATCATAATCAATCAAACATCAGAAAACAGTGATTCTCTCTTGAAAACCTACAAACAATTCTTCAAAATCATTGCCAGTAAATGTTCGACTGGTTGTTACAGCTCCACCTCCTATAAACAAGATGTATGGCAAAACCGAGATACAGTTCAGCCAGGAAAATGAAATGAGGAACTGTAAATCTCTATATACAGTTCAGTGTCATGTTTTGAAGCCAAGTAAAACGATGGTCTCACCTTGAGGGGTTCCAGGAGATGCAGCTGCAGCTGAGCTTGCAGGAGATCTCGTGCTGCAGGGACCACTGACTCAGGTTCATCACATCAGGAGCCTCATAGATCCTCACCACTCCGTCCGCAGAGCAGGTGGTCAACATCAGGCCCATGTGTTTAGGGGCAAACTTCACATCAGTCACTGATGTTCGACTGTCCACTAGTGTGGTTCTCTTAATCTATAACGAAACACCGTAAAAGATCATGTGTCAAAAAGAAGACTGTAGAAAAAGTGACCAGCTGTTACAATGTTAAATAGGGGGAGAAGTCAATGATGGTGTGTTAGTGGGAAACATTATAACCACACAGCACTGGGGGGGGGTACAATCATCATCATCATCATCATCATCATCATCATCATCATCATCAACTGAACTGCAAAGAAAATAAAGAAATATAAATGTGTGATGTGTGCTTTGCAAGTTTATAAGGATGCCAGAGTTTCACTCACCCAGTGGCTCAGTCCTCTCTGCTTGTCGTTGGACTCCCCTACAATCTCTTCCCACACAGCAGCGGTCCTGTCAAAGGAGCAGGAGGCCAGAACCTGCCCGAACTCTGGGTGAGCCCAGGTCACTCTCCACACGGAGCCGCTGTGTGTCTGCACACAGAACAGCTTCAGTCAAACCAATAGAGCCCAACACTAGATACCGATTTGTTTAATATCAGAAAAGTGACAAGAGACAGAATAGGACATAAAGTCATTGCAAAAATGCTAATGTGATATGCAATTATACTTGAAATTAATATTTGAGCTGGAAAGCCTTTTCATGGTTAAATCAATGTTAGAAGCAGCAAGTGGCCTACCTTCCAGCTGGCGGTGCAGTGCCACTCTCCGTTCTCACTTTTGTCCCAAACCTGAATGAAATAACGTGCGGGAAACACACATTAACAGAAATACGAAATAGTTCAGATACGAAGTCTGTCTATAGCCTATACTTGTGTGGCTGGTAACACAGGGCTCTCAACGACATTCCTGGATGTGATCACGTGAAGCTACATTAAACAGCATCTCAAAGTTATCTGTAGCTACCCTAGCCTGTATGCTACAGGCACCATGGCTATCAAGCTAGCTAAATCAAACAAGGTTTAGATTCCTTCGACATTCAAATGTTTCCATACATATCGCAAATGACCTAACTTTACGTCCGTCAACAATGGAATGAGAGTCAGTCTCACCAATAGGGTGTTAAGAGTGTGATACTACGGGTGGTGTTAACAAGCTTGCTGTGAGAGCTAACATTAGCAAACTGAACTTACCTTCACACTTTGGTCACTGGAACAAGTGGCCATTCTCCGGCCGTGGAAATCATACGAAACATCATGAATGAGATCTTTATGATCTGCTGCGATACTTCGCGCTACAAACATGATTACAATTAGCAAATATTAACCAGCAACCCTAGCTTAACTAGTTTCCTAGCAGGCCTGTCATGTGTCCACTTGTGTGTGTGTATGTATGTATGTTTGGCGGGTCCTGTAGAGTGCTATCCCTGGAGTTAACCACTGGGGGGCGCATTGAAACCAAGTTTAGGTCAATCCTGTTTTAAGGTACTCCATGATAACATTTATGTTGAAACGTGTCATGTCGATCTGAACATCGAATAGTATATAATTTCGAAAAAATGAAAACTCTTAGCTGAAATGTATTAGTTAACTCTATTAAGTGACATATTCTTACATGTTTCCCGACCGGTCACCATGGTTGCCAGGTTCGTAGATTAAAACACTTATATGTGAACACTTTTAGACTAGAGGAATGTGACAAACTTGTTTGTATTGTATCATACTTTATGTGTTACTCTAACCATGGCTTCTGTAGTATGTAAACAAATAAATAAAGATACATTATTATTTTCTTAAATAGCTACATTGGTTATTGTAGTAGACCAGGTTTGTTTTATTTATATATATTTAAAATACATGTTATATGATTTAACATAGTTGTACATAAAGATAACAAAGAACTATGTGATTTTAGTTGATTCGTTGTTTTTTTTTATTAAGTTGACAAAAAAGCGCAACTGGCAACCCAAGTCAGTGAGCCTGCATGCAGTATTGTGCAGGAGCAGACTCCCCGCAGGGATCCCCAGGGTTACACACACTGCTGTTTAGATGGCTGACAGAAAGGAGTAACTTGGTGAACGGTGCTGCAAACACTCTGGGATCATCTAGCAAGTGTCTCGGGCACTTATTACGATAAAATGGAGCAAGAATTTGAAGACATTGATTCGTCCGGGAGATGGCAAAACCTTTACAATGTAAGTCGGGACACTGGGCCTCTGGTGTTTCTATGACGATCGGTTGCTAACTTACTTGGCTAGCTAATTTGGGTAGCTAGCCAGTAAGATACCTTTCCCGGTATCTGGTTGCTTTTAGCCTTCTACACGACCAATGTAATTGTGTTAACTTATACAACTCGAAACATGGTTTGAGGTTATATGTAGTGCTATGCAGATAGTGAACAGCTTAGAGGCGAATGAGAAACAATCAATCCGCGCTAGTAGTCGATGACTTCCGTAGCTAGAAAGCTTGTAACGTTAGCTTGAAAACGTGCAGCGGCACAGTGTCCATGGTGGAGCTCAGTTAGCTAAGGCTGAATGACGCTACCAGACGTCAGCTGCAGTTTCTGAGAACTCATAAGGACTTCCAGAGAAAAGCGCATGTGTTTCACCACCAGCTGTCCAACATAGCCCAGCTAGTAGTTTGTGATATTTCTGTTCCGGCTTTCTGCTCAGGCTATGGCCATGTCATATTTCACATTAGCTCCTCACCTGGACCGCCTGTAGTCTGAGAGGTTGTCTAGCTAACCGCTGGAAGTTAGAGAGGCAAACTAAAATAACGATGCTACCGTAAACAATCATGTTGTTCATTTAACAGGAATATAAATGTTGTCATAGAAGTGAACTAACTTCAGAGTAAATGCCTGAGGCTTGTTTAGGGGAAATGTATTATTTGATAGAAAAATAGTAAGAAGTCTTTATTTGTTTTGCTGACTTACTAATTGCATTAAAGGTCTACAATTATTCAGATGATATTATTATAATCTACTGCGAAGTAGAATACTATTTTTAATGTTACTTTATATTTGAAACTATTATGCGGCCTGTCAAACACTTCTTTAGATCAATCATAATTGTTTCAGTCGACTCCTATAAATCATCTGAATCCCCATCCTATGAACAGCTCTGTGTCATCAAAACACAAAAGCATCCCAATAGAAATGTTTGTCAGTAATAGACGACATTGAATTCTAATAAACCTAGCACACAATACATAGTGGATTGAATAGCTTGTATCTGTGTGTTACTGTTTTGACATGAATGTCGTCAGTGTCTCTGGCCCCTTTTGACATGCGGGGTTTCACACGTATGTTCCTGTTTGTCTAACAGTATGTGTCCCTTCTTTGTTTTGTAATCAATAATACCATCTCCTAACTCCCAACAGGAGATCCGTAACCAAGCCAGCGAATACCCTTACAAAGTGGCAAAACTCCCAATGAATCGGAATTTGAACCGCTACAGAGATGTCAGCCCATGTGAGTCTTAAAACAAATATGGTAGCAAAGCTTTATTGTAAAGGACATATGTGTAATGTATGTATGGGCTCTCATCTGGTTTCAGTCGATCACAGTCGGGTCAAACTTGAAAACTCTGAAAATGACTACATCAATGCAAGTTTAGTCATGATGGAGGAAGCCCAACGAGCTTACATTCTGTCTCAGGTACGATACAAGCGATATCAATGTCTGCAAAAGAATATACTGCATCTTTGAAGTCTTTGCTCTGATGTTTGTGAACTTTTTATAAAGACAGGACATGCTTTCTCTATTGATATGAATGTCTTGTGCTTCAACAGGGGCCTCTAAGGAATACCTGTGGTCATTTCTGGCTGATGATTTGGGAGCAGTGTTCCAAAGCTGTTCTAATGCTCAACAGAATCATTGAAAAGGGATCTGTGAGTACACCTCAGCACCTGCTGTCATTGCTTTCCAGCGTGTCATATCGTGACCAATCAAATGCATTGATATGACACTTGTCTAGCCGTAGGGACCACTAAGAGTGCTTTTTTCAACACAGGACAGTCACACAAGACACACACAAGCGCACACTGGTGGAAAAGGCCATACAATGTTTTTTAAAATAATAATTTCCTGGCAAATTATTTTAGAATATGATTGTTTTTTTCTGTTTTACTGTTAAAAGAACAAGATGTATTTTCTGTTAAAGAAACTACTGAGAGGAACATATTGAAATAACATACATTACCTTTATCAATATCAATGACTATTTTGTAGCTATTTACTTTTGAAGACATGTCAAATGCTGTGGCTTGAATAATGATTTGTATCTAATATGTTTGATGGTTGAACACAATATGTCTCCTCCTAAATATCCAGCTGTGTGCAGTGGAGGTTTGAATATGCTTTGTGGGAGCTGCCTATTTATGGATCCTCAATCAGTGTTCATTTATTCTGCACATAAATACAGCTTCCTATACAAAATAAGTCAATGAATTGTTGTGTCAACAGGAAAAGTGTGCGCAGTACTGGCCCACCTCAGAGGGGCATCCAATGTCTTTCACTGACACAGGGTTTGTGGTCAGGCTGCTCTCAGAGGAAGACCAATCCTATTACACAATACGGGTGCTACAACTGCAAAACACAATGGTGAGCATGAGAAGCAGTCTATAAGAGGATAACACAGTGGTGCCATTTCAGAGGCTATTTTGTGAGGTGAAAAGTGCTTTGCGTCTAGTTTAGAAACATGTTTTTCTTTCTTCAGACTAGGCTCTGAGCATGACTTGAGCTGTCTCAACGTGTAACATCTTGAGTGGTCGTATTGGCCTAAAAACCTTTCTTTCAAAAAAAGACTTTATTAAACTTATGTTTCTTTTTTTTATATATATATTACGCCCCTTGTAGCTCTTTGGGATTACTTTTAGCAATGAAAGGTGCTTTACAAATAACATTTATTATTATTATTATTGTTGTTGTTGTTAGGACAAGCATCAAAGTCTAAATGTACGGAGAGGATAAACACTGTGATTGCATCATATGTTGTGATGATTTCCTAGTGACAAATCATCATGCAGTGCTCTGTGAATAAAACGCTCCAAATGATGTCAGGCCTCCTCACATGTTATCTGTCACAGACGGGGGAGTCGAGGGAGATCTACCACTTCCACTACACCACGTGGCCTGACTTTGGAGTCCCAGAATCCCCAGCCTCCTTCCTCAACTTCCTCTTTAAGGTCCGGGAGTCCGGCTCGTTGGGAGCAGAACAGGGTCCCGCAGTGGTGCACTGCAGCGCTGGGATTGGACGCTCGGGGACCCTCGCCTTGGTGGACACCTGCCTGGTCCTGGTGAGATTGGGGGGGTGTCCGCACCTACAGTCAGTGTTGGAGGGAGTTGTTGCTTAATGTTGAAAACAAAGCGTTAAAACATTACTCAAATGAGATGATGGTGTTATGATGACTTACTGGGACATAGCTGCAATTTGAAAAAGGAGTTGTGGCAAGGTGGTATTGTACTTTAATGCATTGATCATTTTTCAATGGTTTATGCATTGAAGAAGACTATGACCAAGGAATAACTCTCAACCTCCTGGTCTCTTATTATTTCCAGAGCTGTACAGTATGTGTGGGAAGTAGCCACATGTCGCATTCAGAATATTTACTTGAGTTTAAGTTGAATTTATTGTGCAAAATGCTTACAATACTAGTTAAAGTCCTGCTTTACTAATAAGGCTTACTACTTTACAAAAGTACAATAAAGTCAAATAACTGATTCCTTTTTTTAATGAAATATTGGGAATTTGGCCCCAGTTATTAAACATCAGACCAGTTTAGGAACTACTTAAAACTCAAGTCATCTAAACTAAATCTCAGGTATCATGATCCCTAAGGACCTGTGGAGACCTCCAGCAGGAACCAAACATGACACTAGCTTGGGTTAAGCTGTCTGAATGTGTTGTTGTTTAGTTAGAAGCTAAGCTTAGCTGCAAAGCTCTTCCATCTGTATTCTTAACATGTTCATCTGATTTGCAGATGGACAGGAGGAAGAACCCGTCATCAGTAGACATTCAGAAGGTGCTTCTGGACATGAGGGAGTACCGCATGGGCCTGATCCAGACCCCAGACCAGCTGCGCTTCTCCTACATGGCCGTCATCGAGGGAGCCAAGCTCACCCTGCTAGAGTGCTCAGCAGCGCAGGTAGCACAGGGCTGGGGGGTAACCCTGTAATTACCTCAAGCTCATCTCGGGCTGTTATGTTGGCAGCAAACCTCAGATAACTGGTTTATAAATCCCACCCAACTGTATTCCATCAAATACACTGTTATTGAAACTATTGTGCAGTCTTATGTAAACAGTTTTAGTCAATGAGCTAGAACAGACATTTTTACAGTTTTAAGCTCTAGTCTTTACATTAAAACCATCTTTGGAAACAGGCGGAGGTTATTCACCAGTCAGTGAGTTTAGGCGTCTTAATCAGCAGCCATATCCTTGTAACTGAGGGCTCGCACACCTAGTATTGATATCATTTATTTGCACCTCTCCCTGCTCCTGGTAATATGCAGCTATTTTTAGGCTTTGACTTTGTAAACTACAAATGTATTCAATTCAATTCAAAACCTTTATTTATCCAGGTAAAATCCCATTGAGATCAATGATCTCTTTTTCAAGGGAGACCTGCAGCAGTAGGTTCCACAAGAAGACATAAACACATAAACAACAGAACAACAAAAGGACATCATACAGCAAAATGTACAGGGATTACAATTTACATATTTAACCACAAGTACAGGTACCAACAGCATCTGATTTTGTAGCATCCAACCGAGCTTTAAAAACATGTAGTGGTACTAGCTTGGTAATTTTCCATTCTTTTTGCAGACTGTTCCATGTTAGTGGAGCTGCACATCTAAAAGCTTTCTTCCCTAAGACAGTCCTAGCACTTGGCACATTTAATAAAACCACAGCATGCGATCTCAGGCAATAAGTACTTTCAATTCGCAGAGAGATCAGGGAGCAGATATAAGATGGTAGTTTATCCAACATGGCTTTGTAAATGAAAAAGTACCAGTGACTGAGCCTCCGTACAGTAAGTGATGGCATAACCGCCTTGGTATACAGGGTACAGTGATGCGTAAGTGCTTTACAATTTGTCAAAAATCTCAGTGCACTGTGATACGCAGCATCTAACTTGCTCAGGTAATTGGCAGGTGCATTCATATACATCAAATCACCATAATCCAGCACAGGTAAAAAGGTCACAGTGACTAGCCTTTTCCTGGCCTCAAGCGAGAAACAGGACTTATTTCTGTAGAAGAAACCTAGCCTAACCCTCAGCTTTTTAAGCAGGTTATTGACATGAAGTTTAAAAGTGAGACAGTCATCAAGCCAGATACCAAAGTATTTGTAACAGGTAACCACTTCAAGTTGTATTTCTTGCGTAGTTACAATATCCAAAGCAGTCTTTGGTGTATTTTTAGCTTTAGCTTTAGAAAAGAGCATTACCTTGGTTTTATCCACATTTAAAAGAAGCTTTAGTTCAGAGAGCTGAGTCTAAATAATGTTAAAGACAGCCTGTAATTTAACAACAGCCTCGTTAATCGAGGGACCTGCACAGTACATCACGGTATCGTCCGCATAAAAATGTAAGGTTGCTCCTTCGACATTTTCACCTAAACTATTAATATAGATAGAGAATAATAGCGGACCTAAAACAGAACCTTGTGGTACACCATTAGTGATGTTTAACCACTCAGAAGACAGCCCATCAAACTGAACACATTGGGACCTTTCAGAGAGGTAGTTCACAAACCACCCACTGCATGGCTGGACATGCCTATACTGACCAGCCTTTGCTTCAAAATGCAATGATCGACGGTGTCAAACGCTTTGGAAAGGTCAATAAATAGAGCTGCACAACTCTGCTTATTATCTAAAATACTCGTAATATCATTTACCACTTTCATTGTGGCAGTGATGGTGCTATGTTGCTTTCTGAAGCCTGACTGATGTTTAGACAGGATGTCATTGTTACATAAAAACTCCTTTACCTGTTCACTCACTAAGCGTTCAAGAACCTTGGCCAGAACTGACAACTTAGAGATGGGTCTATAATTGTTTAATAAGGTGGCCTCCCCTCCTTTTAGCAAAGGCAGGACATAAGCTGACTTCCATACTTTTGGGATTGCATTTGTGCTGAGGGAGAGGTTAAAAAGAGTAGTGAGAGGTGGAGCAATAAAATCTGCAGCTAACTTTAAAAAGAAAGGTTTTACGTTGTCCGGACCAGCCGGCTTTTTAGGATCTAGCTTGGTTAAGACTTCACGAACAACATCAACAGTAAAAGGAGTAAAACTGAAGGGGTTTTCCAGACCACATTGTTCTGAGTCACCGACTGTGGTGTTCACAGAAGCAGAGTTAGAAACAGAATGAAACAGAGAGCCACAGGACACAAAATGCTCATTAAAACAATTTAGTATGGTGGTCCTATCCGATATAGTGCCAGATGCTGTGGTAAGGCACGGAGGTAGCTCATTACGGATATCACCGGTGGATATCGATTTTATGGCTTTCCAGAATTTTCTAGGGTTGTTCAGGTTCTTTGTGGTAACTGACAGATAATACTTAGATTTAGCACTTTTGACATGTGAAGTGAAGCTATTCCTTAGCTGCCTAAAACGCAGCCACTCTACCTCTGAGCCTGAATTCCTAGCCTTTGCCCAGGCCTTGTTTTTCTCATGTAGGAGACTAGACAGATTAGCAGAAAACCAAGGATTGTTTCGTCCCTTCACTCTAAATTTACGCAGGGGTGCATGTCTATCTATAATTTGCATAAAACCAAGATAAAAATAAGACCATGCGGTTTCTACATCAGCACACAGATCGATTTTTCCCCAATCAAACCCAAACAGATCATGTACAAAACCCTGCTCCACAAAATGTTTGATGTCTCTCTTGATGATAATACGAGGTTTAACCTTTTGGACCTTAGTGTCCCTAATTGTGGCTACAGCACAGTGGTCACTCAGATCATTAGCAAATACTCCCACAGATGAGTATTTATAGGGAACATTAGTTAGAATGAGATCAATTAGGGAGGATTTATTAGGGGACTTAATGTTAGGGCGAGTAGGACTGTCAACAATCTGAGTAACATTTAAAGAGATACAAAGGTTTTTTAAATCCTCTGACACTGCAGTTAACCAGTCCCAGTTAAAATCTCCAAGTAGCACTATTTCCTTGTAGTCTAGTTGCGATAAAAGATTTGCTAGCGAAGACAAGGAGTCTTTGACAGCTAAGGGGGGTCTGTAACAGCCCACAACCATGACCTGTTGACCCTTTGCCACTTCTATATTTAAGGCTAAAAATTCAAATTGCTTACTGATAGATTTGGAAACTACAGCGGTTACACTGAACTTATTCTTAACATAAATGGCAACGCCACCACCTTTATTAGGCCGGTCGGTACGATACACATTAAAACCATTTAAGGCAATGTCAGAGGCCAAAATAGATTTATTTAGCCATGTTTCTGATAAAACAATGACGTCAGCGTCAGTCGAGCTCGCCCAGATACGGACAAAATCTAGTTTACCTAACAGACTGCGCACATTCAAGTGGATGAAACCCAACCCAGACCTAGCTTTAAAATCAGCAGGAGTAGCGATCTGACTACTACTACTGGGCGGACCAGGGTTAGGTTGTACATTTCCTGACAGTAATAACAACAAAAAAACCAGGCATCTTTTCCTCTTAAGCGACACACATACATTGTCATCTACTTTAGAATCACCGGAAAAGTCTGCGAGAGTGTGATTTGAGCTTAAGAAGCAGTCCTGAAGAACCATCATCGCAGGAAAACAAAAAAGACAAACATATTTTGTTGAGCAGATTGACTGGGACAAGGCAACCGGTAATTGTTTGTGTAACACATCCGAACCTTTGCAGGGGATGCCCACTGCGGGTGGCAGAACAGACCTGAATCCAGTAGACTCCTCAGAATGATTAGAGATCTTCTCATAGTCCAAAACAGTTAACAGGCACAGCAGAATCCCGATATGGGCCATTTTCCCAGACCAGGGAACCGCGATGTTCCTGGAGCAAAATCAGCACAGCAGCAAAGGACAGGCGAAAGCAGCAGCGTGGTATCCCCGTGGTGAAAGAAGGCCTCTGCTACAGCAGAACCAGGACAGGTGGGAAGCAGGCCCCAGGCGTGGTAAAATCCTCCTCCGTACAGCAGCACACGCCCGGTGGAAGCAGGCCAAGCCCGAAGCGTGGATCCACTCCGTCTCTCCGCGACGACTCCGGGGTAAAAACCTCTCCAGTGCAGCCGTGCAGGTGGGAGCAGGCCTCCGTAGATCGCAGATCGCAGGCAGCAACAGGTAGAGCTGCTCAGTCTCTCCGCTCCGTCTCCGGGGTAAAAACCTCTCCAGTACAGCCGAACTTAACAGGTGGGAGCAGGCCTCCGTAGATCGCAGATCCCAGATCGCAGGCAGCAACAGGTGGAGCCGCTCCGTCTCTTCGTGACGAGCAGGCCTCCGTAGATCGCAGATTGCAGGCAGCAACAGGTAGAGCTGCTCCGTCTCTCCGCTCCGTCTCCGGGGTAAAAACCTCTCCAGTACAGCCGAACTTAACAGGTGGGAGCAGGCCTCCGTAGATCGCAGATCCCAGATCGCAGGCAGCAACAGGTGGAGCCGCTCCGTCTCTTCGTGACGAGCAGGCCTCCGTAGATCGCAGATTGCAGGCAGCAACAGGTAGAGCTGCTCCGTCTCTCCGCGACGTCTCCGGGGTAAAAACCTCTCCAGTACAGCCGAACTTAACAGGTGGGAGCAGGCCTCCGTAGATCGCAGATCCCAGATCGCAGGCAGCAACAGGTGGAGCCGCTCCGTCTCTTCGCGACGAGCAGGCCTCCGTAGATCGCAGATCGCAGGCAGCAAACAGGTGGAGCCGCTCCGTCTCTTCGTGACGAGCAGGCCTCCGTAGATCGCAGATCGCAGGCAGCAACAGGTAGAGCTGCTCCGTCTCTCCGCTCTGTCTCCGGGGTAAAAACCTCTCCAGTACAGCCGAACTTAACAGGTGGGAGCAGGCCTCCGTAGATCGCAGATCCCAGATCGCAGGCAGCAACAGGTGGAGCCGCTCCGTCTCTTCGCGACGAGCAGGCCTCCGTAAATCGCAGATCGCATGCAGCAACAGGTGGAGCCGCTCCGTCTCTTTGCGACGTCTCCGGAGGAAAAACACCTCAGTACAGCCGTACTCACAGGTAGGCCTCCGCAGATCGCAGATAACTAAAACTACTACTTGTATAAGCAGGGATGGCTAAAAGTTTGTGTATAAACACAGAGGTGAATTTTGTCATCTAAAGATTCACTATTAACTATTGTAGAGGGAATCTTTGGCACAATCTTAGGCAGTCAAACATATTTCTTTAGCTTGCCTAAGTCTGTCTTTCTGTAAGTTGGGAGTAAACTTAATTTTTCTTGTGTGTCTTTGTGTCTCATCCCCTATAAGCAGATAGTCATACCTAGAGATGGTGTAGAGGCAGATCTGCCCCCGCCACCTCCTCCACCCAGACCTCATCTCAACGACAACAGGCCCAACGGTCAGCCGGGACCCTGTGCGGAGCCAGAGGCCACCTCAGAAGAGCCCCTGTCAGCAGAACCCCAGTCAGCAGGAGAGCCAGAGAGTCAGGACCCCGACACAGCAGATAGCTCTGGGCAGTAAGTAACAGACCAGGGGCACATTGGCAAATATTCTGACACTCTGAGAGCTCCTAACTTAACCATGTCATGTTTAGCAAGGAGTCCGAGCTCAGGGGTGATTTAGGAAACTAACAGGGCTTTGACAGAGATGTTACCGGTGTGGTTGGGACAGTTGCTAGGTATGACAAATCCCCTCAAAAGGATGAATTTTCTGATAAATAAATAAAAGCACTCGTATTGACAATGAGGATAGAATCGGAAGTGAAAACAATCAAATTATAAAAATGCTACAAATGTTCACTTATATAAAAATGAGCTTTCAAATTGCTTCACCGAAACAGAAAATACGCAGTGTAAATATAAATTAGAACAAAGGACATTTGCGGTAGCTAATTCACATACTATTTATTTGGTTTTATTTATTTATTTATTTGGTTTTATTTATTTATTTGGTTTTATTCATCCTGGTAGTTTTAGTATTTTATTTGAACTCACTGTCATTCAATGTTTGAAAAATATTTCTCCTACCTATCTCTGTTTCAAGATGTTCTCCTCTGTTTAAGAACCTGAAGCCTCTGAAAAGTGCTCCTTTCAACTCCTAAGAGTTCACTTAGAAGCTCTCCTAAGGGCTGAGAGGCTTTATGTTTGATCTGTACCACGATCTAGCCTTAACCGTAAGAGGAAATCATTCTTAGAATTAGATGTATGAATACAGCCCCTGATCTCTAACCATCTTATAGTTTCATTTGACATTTATTATGTAATAGTTTTCTGGCAGATCAGTGGCACTGTGCGTCAGAAAAGCTGACTTCCTACTGTTACCTTGATCTTGTTTCAGTGTGAGAAAGCGACACCGTGAGGAGAGGATCGCCAGCACCTCCCAGAAGGTCCAGCAGATGAAACAGAGACTGAGCGACTCGGAGAGGAAACGGGACAAATGGCTATACTGGAGACCCATCCTGCTCAACGTGGGGGCTGGGGCAGCGGTGGCTGTGGGCCTGCTGGTGGTCTGGATGTACGCCCAGTGAAACACTCTGGGTCACTTTAAACGGACTCCTATTTTGCACCAGTACCTGGGATTAGGTACTTCTCTAAGTAGATGTAGATGGTAAAATGTGCATAACTGAGGGTATTTATTTCTTACGGTCAAAATGCGGGAGCGCTAGATCAAATGATTGTGTATATTTTTCATGTAAGATCAAACAAACTAGTAACATCTCAGGATCTTGGTGCCAGCACGATGATTTCATTTTCTTTTCTTCTTGTCACTCGATGAATGTACTGTATCATTGCAAATAGCTTTGGAAGAAACGTATTGCAGGTGCAGTACAAAGAAAAACGTTATCTGTGATGGTCAGATTTGTGTTGATCATATGAAGACTCCAGTTCCCATAGGTCAGCTGTGTGATTTTCCTTCATTTGTTTGTCTGTAGTGAAAGGTGCATATCAGACATGCATATAGAAGTTTTCCAGAGCACCCCACTTGTTCTTCCGTTCACATTAAGCAGGGCATCCCAATAGGGCCAGATATATATTTTTTTGTGACTGGACACTTCATAGGGAGCTGCCTTGCTGATGTTTCAAACTCTGCTAGAACTTTAATCTTATTATTTTCTGTTCTATGAGCACCTTTTTTACAGATTTTGGTTGTCACATGGATCATATAAGCTGTCGGGTCCCTCACCGCTTAGTGTGTGTATTTACCCACTGGATGGGTTCATGTGTGTATGTTCATGTTGTCCCACTGTTTTTATGGAAACCAAAGCAAGGCTGTCCTTTTTTGGACAGTAACAGCCAGGCAAGCTGTTCAGTGATGAAATCTTGTACTCCCATGTGGAATGTGTTGTCCGTTGGATTTCTGACAAAACTGCATTACAAAATGATTCATATTAGCTTTACGTTGTGTGTGACTTCTTAATTTGAACCGGTAGAATCATCATTTGTTTTCCGTTGACTAGGACCAATCTAAAGCTATAATAGTGCAATTTAGAAGTTGTAGCGGAGAACCTTGGATACAATTTGAGTTAGGAAAGAGTGATAGCATACACGTTTGTATCTATTTGTTTGCTGGTTGAGATAGCTTTTAATGTGCCTTGAAGTGAAAAAAAATGTGTGCTCCAAGGTTTCCTAGTATACAGATTAAGGTTAATGTGAGGACTAATATCCCACATAACATGAGTAACATGTTAGCACTGCATTGACGGGTTTGTAGTTACTTGAGGTGTGAGTTGATTGTAGACCTAATGTGTCATTAGCATGTACTGATGTCTGAGAGGAAATTGTGTGTTGCTAATTTACTAGTTACCACTGATGGACATGGCTTTTACTTAGTTCTTATTTAACCCAGAAGAGACACATTTGATCATAACATTCCATTCATTCTTGTTTTCCACATAAGATTTCAGGGGAGTTTTGTACACTGCTGAGCTGCAGTGAGAACATGAGAGATGGCTTTTGAAGACGAAAAAAAAAAGCAAACAAACATGAAATACTTCTTAAAATAAACATTCATCTTTTTTACCAAATCATGCTGTCTGCTTGTGTTTTTTCTTTAACTCTGGGTCCACCGTCAGCTCTCAGCTCCCTGCACTGCAGTGCCGTGCATCATTTCATTCTGACCATGAGCTAAATCAACACAGCCAGACCGGAGGCCTCAACATGGATTCCAGGAATTGATTCAATATTTCAAGAAGAGGCCTTGCTCATATGTAGTAATTTCATCTTCTGTTGTCTGTTGGCTGGCATCTGCATATGTGGAGTAGGCCTACTGGTCTATCCACTAAAAAGAAACTTCCGATTTCTATATACTATTACTAGAAAAAATAAACGTAAAACGGCTATATTAGTAAGTAAAGTTTAGAGTAAGAATAATTAAAATCGTCTTAATTTAAAACGTGTAGCTTAATGAGTGAACAAATAAGTAACAGGTGCACTACAATTTGACTACAAAGGGGTCTTCACAGATTACAAAACAATAGGACGACTGATACAATCCCTGAATAAAAGAGCGGAACAAAATTCTACCGAAATTATATAAAACTAAATCAGACGTGACTTAACATAAATCATTTGGTCAGTGATATCAAAATGGACGTATATTATTTATTTGTTCTAAGACAGAGTAGTTGAAAGCGACAGTTGTCCTCAGGACTCTGCCAGGCTTCCCTGGAGCCACATTCCCGCTTCCTGTTCCGCCACAGTTTAAAACTATGGCAGTTGTGGCTATCCTCCGCAACGGGCTGCCGTCATAGATATTTGACTATGTTACAGACGAGACATGTTTACAAGGATTGAGATATTACTCAAACACACGCATATCGTTACTTATTGTACACTATTAAAAAGGTAGCAAGGTATTTGTGCTCAGAACGCTCCCGGACTCCTCAGCAGTGATGTCCCTTTCTCTAGAGAGAGCCTCCGAGCTGAAGCAGATCATCCACAACCATCTTCTGAAGGTGAGCAAACCGCTGTAACTTCGGAATGCTCAATAGGCTAGGTTTGGTAGTTATGCATTGTGTTTTCGAAGGTTGACCGTTATGCTAAATAACTGGGGTTACGTAGGCTACTGTAACCCAGGTTGCGGTCGGATAATCCAAAAATCAGCTCCTAACGTCTAACCCTATCGTCTATTGTTCCTTGACCTCTGAGTGAAACGTCACGGGGTTAAGGAATAGTGGATAGGAGAATTAAAAAGGACTTAGGAGAAGAGACTGCGGTACTTTAACGGCTGTGGGCCCTTCTCACTTCGGTTAAATTGATTCCTTGCGTCCCTCACTTGCGTCGTTTCCCTGCGACTAGTCCCTCCCACCAGGGAAGCATGGAGAGATGCAAGGAAACCACGAGAAGCAGGGAAATTAGTTTTAAGAGCAATGGGACGTCCTTTCCTCCGGAGCGTCACGTGAAGCGACGTCCGTTTGTGATGACGCTGGACAGCTGATCGTCTGACAGCAGCCAGCTCTGTCCCCGTTATTTCCACACACCCCCGCCTCTGTTAGTACACATTTACTGACACAAACATTTGTATCATCTGTTATAGACCCAAATACATTAAATCAAATAAGAACTCATTCTCAAAAAAGATAAACGCCATTCTTAAAATGTATAAACGAAAAAAGCGATCATGAAAATGTTTTCAATAAATGAAGAAAATTATTTTTAACCACTTTGTTGTTCAGATATATCACATATTTGTAACTAAATGATAAATTAATTGAAACAAAACACAGTATAAACTGAGGAGTGAGACCGAGACCGAGGAGCGATGAAATGAAAAATAAGAGAAGTGAGTCTCAATTCAGGGGTTGTATGTGTATGTTCTTATTATACATCCATGGTTGTATCCTTAGAAGGGTGCATTCGTAGACCGTACACGTCACTTCCGCCGAAAGAAGGCTGTCCCAATAATAAAAAAAAAAGACTAGACTCCTCTGAATGCGGCCCACGAATGCAGCCTACTTTTCCCCAATTTGAAGGATACATCTGATGTGCACTCCGCGGCCTACCATATCCCAGGGTGCAATGCGCGCAGGGAAGAGGGAGTTTTTTTCAAATGAAATGGCTTCCGGTCTCCCCAGCAGAATGGATTTAAAAGCAGCCGCAAGCGGAGGAATCACTAATAAATGTGAGTATTGGGTTTTAACTTACTTTAAATTAACTAACGTCACACACGTCAAACCCAAGGGGCATTACAACGTACATTTTCGTTAAATAATACGGATAATTAAATATGTGACGCTAACTAGCTAGCTGGACGTACTGCACTGTTGTTTACACTTATTTTTTTATTCAATTCAGAAGTTTACTAAAGTCATACAGAGATCTTGGCTCTGTTATAGATAAGTTATATTTTATATTACATAAATAGACCAAAGTGAAAACATTTAGACCGGTATAGCCTACAGTACGGTGGGATTTATAAAATGCTACCCTGACGTCTGCTGTTAGCTTTATTTATTTTTCTGACATGTTCCAATGTTTTACTGTTTATTAAACTTTGGGACAAAATTACAACCTTTTTATTCAGCTCATGCTGCTTTGAGGTAGGGCTAAAAGAAAAGCCTAATTTAAATATTTCCACCAGATTTGATCATCTTTTATTTAGGTTACAGTTTATTTAATTGATCCTAATCCCATAATAATAAGACAATCGAAAATAGACAGCAGCCTGATGTTAGTTTGTGCTGTCAAAGGGATGCACGTGTGTCATTTCATCTCTTTAGTTTTTTAAAAACCAGAACAGTACATCATTTTAAATGATCCCTTAAGGATTGTTTGTCTGAAATGCTTAGAGTTACATTTTGCAATAATACTTTTGCAACCCTGTGTTTAATATGATTAATTCACTTTTTTCTTTTTCTCTTGTTTTTCTCTGTAATTAGGACAATTCTGGAGAAATGGATCTGCTGGAGAAGGACCCCTAATCTGAAAAGTGCACAGCGGATCATCAGGACAGAGCTGCCATCCACCTGGACCCCCGAGGTGCTGGAGAAGGACCCCTAACCCCAGAGGATCATCAGGACAGAGCTCCATCCACCTGGACCCCCGAGGTGCTGGAGAAGGACCCCTAACCCCAGCGGATCATCAGGACAGAGCTCCATCCACCTGGACCCCCCGTGGTGCTGGAGAAGGACCCCTAACCCAGCGGATCACTCAGGACAGAGCTGCCATCCACCTGGACCCCCGAGGTGCTGGAGAAGGACCCTAACCCCAGCGGATCATCAGGACAGAGCTCCATCCACCTGGACCCCGAGGTGCTGGAGAAGGACCCCTAACCCCAGCGGATCATCAGGACAGAGCTCCATCCACCTGGACCCCGAGGTGCTGGAGAAAGGACCCCTAACCCCAGCCGGATCATCAGGACAGAGCTCCATCACCTGGACCCCCCCGAGGGTGCTGGAGAAGGACCCCTAACCCCAGAGGATCATCAGGACAGAGCTCCATCCACCTGGACCCCCCCGTGGTGCTGGAGAAGGACCCCTAACCCCAGAGGATCATCAGGACAGAGCTCCATCCACCTGGACCCCCGATGGTGCTGGAGAAGGACCCCTAACCCCAGCGGATCATCAGGACAGAGCTCCATCACCTGGACCCCCCGAGGTGCTGGAGAAGGACCCCTAACCCCAGCGGATCATCAGGACAGAGCTCCATCCACCTGGACCCCCCGTGGTGCTGGAGAAGGACCCCTAACCCCAGCGGATCATCAGGACAGAGCTCCATCCACCTGGACCCCCGAGGTGCTGGAGAAGGACCCCTAACCCCAGCGGATCATCAGGACAGAGCTCCATCCACCTGGACCCCCCGAGGTGCTGGAGAAGGACCCCTAACCCCAGAGGATCATCAGGACAGAGCTGCCATCCACCTGGACCCCCGAGGTGCTGGAGAAGGACCCCTAACCCCAGAGGATCATCAGGACAGAGCTGCCATCCACCTGGACCCCCGAGGTGCTGGAGAAGGACCCCTAACCCCAGAGGATCATCAGGACAGAGCTCCATCCACCTGGACCCCCCGTGGTGCTGGAGAAGGACTCCTAACCCAAGAGGATCATCAGGACAGAGCTCCATCCACCTGGACCCCCCGTGGTGCTGGAGAAGGACCCCTAACCCCAGAGGATCATCAGGACAGAGCTCCATCCACCTGGACCCCCGTGGTGCTGGAGAAGGACTCCTAACCCCAGAGGATCATCAGGACAGAGCTTCCATCCACCTGGACCCCCCGAGGTGCTGGAGAAGGACTCCTAACCCCAGAGGATCATCAGGACAGAGCTCCATCCACCTGGACCCCCCGTGGTGCTGGAGAAGGACCCCTAACCCCAGAGGATCATCAGGACAGAGCTCCATCCACCTGGACCCCGTGGTGCTGGAGAAGGACTCCTAACCCCAGAGGATCATCAGGACAGAGCTCCATCCACCTGGACCCCCCGTGGTGCTGGAGAAGGACTCCTAACCCCAGAGGATCATCAGGACAGAGCTTCCATCCACCTGGACCCCCCTTGGTGCTGGAGAAGGACCCCTAACCCCAGAGGATCATCAGGACAGAGCTCCATCCACCTGGACCCCCCCGAGGTGCTGGAGAAGGACCCCTAACCCCAGAGGATCATCAGGACAGAGCTCCATCCACCTGGACCCCCCCGAGGTGCTGGAGAAGGCCCCCTAACCCCAGAGGATCATCAGGACAGAGCTCCATCCACCTGGACCCCCCGAGGTGCTGGAGAAGGACCCCTAACCCCAGAGGATCATCAGGACAGAGCTCCATCCACCTGGACCCCCCGAGGTGCTGGAGAAGGACCCCTAACCCCAGCGGATCATCAGGACAGAGCTCCATCCACCTGGACCCCCCGAGGTGCTGGAGAAAGCAAAACGGCGATCAGGAGCATCCTCCACCCAGACCTCTGCTTACTGCCGTCCTACAGACTTGTGTCTTACTTTCAAAATGTGATTTTGTATGTGTCCTTTCTTTTAATAGATATCTAACGATTATAGCTTGAGTCTGTCTGATTCCCCAAACAGCTGCTTCTATATACTTGCTGCAC